ATAAAAGCCGGTAACGTTGATCTCCTTACGCCCGCCCATATACACACTAGGTCACTTCTGATTGGTAGTTCCTGAGCACCGTGACCTTTGTAGATTTCAACACGCCAGCGCTTTAACGATCTAAAAACATAGAGCAACATAGAACGACCCCCCTCCCCTCACCCCCTGAGAGTGCTGAAACATATGTCACAGGCATTCTCTTTCTCGGAATGAAAAGGTAAATGCAAGACATCACACAAAGCAGACAGAGCGGGAAACACCCGTAACCTTCAGGAAAGTCGACTAGCCCAATAAACGTGAATGAAAAACGACCTACTCTTTTTATGGAGGTTAACGTAACTTTAAACTTTGAGCTAATGACTACCCAAGATACGCCAGAAAAATATACAAATAAAATGTAAAATTGTACTCACTTCGCATCAAACAATCAAGATTGCCTTCCTGACTGTCATCTTCACTGAAACAAGTGGAAGATACAGCGTGAACCTTTCAGTCTTAAAATCTTTAAACATTTGTTCAGATGCGGCGTAGTCTTGGCAACATTTATTTGATACCAGTTGTTCTGCTCTCATTCTCATAACTGCATAAAGAAAATCCAGTTGTTTTCTGTTTCTTGCTTTAGATTGAATCGAAGTAACAAGAGAGAATATTATCTACACTACAGCATTGCTAATTGTCATTATTAGGCAAGTAAGGGCGACAGTGGCTAACTCTTTAAATACCTAGTGTCGAAGTACGCCTATCCAAAAATCTCAACACTTTGTAGGAAGTCCATCCTTCTTAATTGATGCTTCTTTTTTCCAAACGACAACAGTCAATTTTCTGTACTATTTTTCTATAACACGAGGTGTAAAAATTGTAGCTCTGAAAACTGTCCTTGATTGATACTTGTTTAAAACTGCCACAGAGCTCAATTTCGACATATTTTGAAATATATTCTCGGTGAGAAGTCTAAACGTAATTTGATTGAGAGCTTCTTCTAGCACAGACATGCATCTTTCTTTAACATTTTTTTATTTTATTTCTAACTGAACGTCAGCCCCGTTATTCTGTCAACTCGTTATTCTTCTGTATCAACGCATTACATTCTGTTATGAATTTAATACCAAAGTCAACGTGATATTTTTTTCTGCTCACTGACATCATACAGTCTGGTCTTAAAAATCTTCTGGTGCATGGAAAATTCTTGGTGTAGTTCATATGGCTCAGAATTTGTTTGTTGAAAAAGACTTCAATCTTTCAAATTCTTGAGCAACAAGTGTCGCAAACACACACAAAAAAACACATACTTTTTGTGGACTAACAGCATTTCCTTTAACAATCTTAATTTATATTTTGTGTCAAACGTTATCTTGGCTAATTCAGCACATGTGAAATAGGCTTTTAATTCTTCCCAGTTCACCAACATATTAAACATAATCTTTCCATTCACAAGCCACCTAGTAGATACAAGTTGTTTCAAATGGAAGAGAAGCAGTTCGTCCAGATTAAAACTCCGTTCATGTGTTCATCACTCTAAACAGTTCTTTATAGGCTTCTCGTCTTAAATCACAATGGCGAAACCACTGAGGTATTTCTGAGAGTAAGAAACCACTATTTGATGGCAGCTTGGCAACGGCATTACAAATACAGAGTACTAGAGAATGGCAAATACATCTGAGCTCTTCACAAAAAGAACACACATCTTTAATCCTAGACCGTACAGCGTTTTTGCACCCGACCATGTTTGAAGCGCCATCTGACTCAAATCCAATGCAATGTGTACGACTCTGGCACCAGTTTTTGATTTCTTTATCAATCATTTGCCTGCCCAAAAGCTTTTCGTAAGAGTAGACTAATTGAGAGCTTCATTCGAAGTCGGAGCGCATCTGCCTGAGAGGCAAGCAACGAACAGTCCGCGTACAAAAAAGCCAGATATGTAAAACTAATGTGCAAGGAAAACTGATGTTATGGAACAAGACTAAAGTCTAGAAGTTTTCGAACAACCAGAACCTTCCAACGGAGTCTGTAGCCAGTGTGGGCAAAGAAAAACGGGGGGGGGGGGGGGGGGGCTAATTGTGATTTGCTTAGGCTCTTTAGTAGAACAATCTGTACTGCAGTGGATTCCAGGTCACTGTGACTTAGAAGGCAATGAAATAGCGGACAGATTGGCCAGAAGCGGCAGTGACATGGTGCAACCAAATAGCGACTTAATCCACCAAGAGACGAAAACATTAATACAGTCTAGTATTCAAGAAACGTGGCTGGATACCCACACCAGATTTTCTCCCCAAGACTCACTTCATCGCCTCTCTAGAGAGGGACAGTGTATTATATTGAGACTAAGGACTGGGCACAGCAGATTTCGTCAACATATGTTCACATTTTTCGGTGTAGGAAATACGGAGACGTGTCCCGGCAGCGTGGCACCCGAAAAACTGAGCATGTGCTTAAACACTGTCAACTGTATGCTGACAACAGAGACAGCAATCTGGCCTGTTCCAACCACAATGAAGACAAAACTGTATGGTACACGAGAGGGTATGGATTGCACGATAGCTTTCATAAAGGCTACCAGCCTCCTGATATAAGTTTTCTGACAGAAGGATCGAAGAAGAAGAAGAAGAAGAAGTCCTCGTATTTTAGTCCTCTATTTTCAGTCTGATCTCTTGTTGTTCTTCCGGCCACTCTCTTAAAACATCTAATCTCTGTAATGATTTTCTGCTGAAAAGATGTGGTAAGGGTCCAAATGTAACACTGATAGCGTACTGTCAGTCAAACAAAGATTTTGTTACAATAGGATTGACCTTGCTATTCAAATGTATCTGTCTATGTTCTTATACCATCTCTTTGTTATAATCCACCTTAGCCTTCTTCTCTGTCAGCGCCTGGCAGTTGCTAATTAAACTCCCTCTGTCCCAGGAAGTTAAGAATAGAAGTAATACAAGCTCAGATCTAAAGATCAACAGAGCATTATGCAGAGAAGTAGTTAAGGTAATACTTCGCAAACAAAGGTTTAATATAACATGTCCGAGGGGAAGAAGGGGGGGGGGGGGGGGGGGGAGAGAACCAATAAGAAAAGCGTAGTGCCTTTGAAATGACAGAGAAACACGTATTAAGTTGGTCGGTACTAAAAGTTCAAGCCAGTATGAATGCTACATATCTGAATATGTCGAGGGAAAAAAAACCGAAACAAACAAAACAACCCAGGATATATAAACTATATTGCAAACTTGCACTAACTACTATTACTGTTATTCATTCTTAGCCTGACAAAAGAGGGAAAAATAAACTTCTCTAAAAATAAAAATAAAAATTCAAAAAAAAAAAAAAATGTTAAAAAAGCGAAATGAAAACTTGAATCAATAATTAATTCAGTTGACTCAATTAAAGCAATAAAAAAGAAGGGAGTCAAAGGGCTTTGTGTCGAAAAAAAAATGTTTTAAACTGGCAGTTGTTCGTGGCAGATAATTAAGAAGGTGAAATTCAAAATCACGAATGTGGCTGAGTAACGATCGGGTCAGAACTATTGTTGTCTGCATTTCAGATGTTTAAAATCGAGGGTATTTGTGTGGTTAACTCAACATTTTCCCTCTCTCTCTCTCTCTCTCTCTCTCTCTCTCTCTCTCTCTCTCTCTCTCTCTCTCTCTCTCTCTCTCTCTCTCTCTCTCTCTCTCTCTCTCCTCTTCGTTTCACACGCCAAGAAATTGTTCGCATTTCTTTTTTTTTCTTCTTCTTCTTCTTCTTCTTCTTCTTCTTCTTCTTCTTCTTCTTCTTCTTCTTCTTCTTCTTCTTCTTCTTCTTCTTCTTCTTCTTCTTCTTCTTCTTCTTCTTCTTCTTCTTCTTCTTCTTCTTCTTCTTCTTCTTCTTCTTCTTCTTCTTCTTCTTCTTCTTCTTCTTCTTCTTCTTCTTCTTCTTCTTCTTCTTCTTCTCTTCTTCTTCTTCTTCTTCTTCTTCTTCTTCTTCTTCTTCTTCTTCTTCTGCTTCTTCTTCGCGTTCACCAGCTGTAAACTCTGGTAAAAAGTTCAGGTTGTTTGTACACTTTTGGACTGTAGTCCTGTTCCAGAACTTGAGTGTTGCGCGTGCATCCATTTGACAGATCTGGTATTTTTGTGCAGACTGTTGGTTCCTTGCCTCTCAGGCAGATGCGCTCCGACTTCGAATGAAGCTCTCAGTTAGTCTACTCGTACGACTCTCAATTAGTCTACCCTTTCCCCAGAGAGCTATTGAGTCCGGTACCCCACAAACCACAACAATCCTCATCGCCGAACATTTGGATCTCAAAGCGTGAGTTGGGTATTCCAGGGATCTGGTATTTACGTACACCGGAGCCTAGCTACCAAACCAAACCGACGTAATCAGACCACACTATAACAAATGACGGATGGAATCATTGTGAGGCTTTACCTCACATTTCACACACATCTCCATGACATGATTAACCCGTTCTTATTGCAGGAAGACAGCTAGAAAACCACTATGGTCACACGCGGACTATATTCACATTTCGGATCTATCCAAACACAAAAATGGTTTTCAGTAATGTTTGGCAAAGTAAAATACTCAAAATGTTAAAACTATAAATGGTGGTCCAAGTGACGTTATGTTGAGAAGCTCGCTTAATATACGCCTGGCCAAATCAGAAGGATCTGAAACCAAGGAGCAAACGTCAGAAATGAAAGGGCGAGAAGAACAAAGTTGACAACAGGATAGGGATAAGCGATCTGACTTAGAGAAAATAAGCATTAAGCCCAGAGACGGCGCAAATACCAGAAGTTTAGCCAAGAAAGTGGAGCAAATAAACAAGACCACAAATATAGCCGGAGACTTTTGGAAGCTTTGGCTAGCTAGCAGCAGGTTGAACGTGATTAAGTTTTGATTTTTTTTTTCCTTGAAAAGAATTGAAATTGTAATATGAAATCCTGTTTTATCTAACACCTATCTCTCTTTGTTTTCCCACATCTCGATCAGTCTTCGGTTATTTGGATTATTCTCACAATCCGATTTTCTTCTGCTTTCAGCTCCATAAACAATGGATTATATGTTTACAAGGGGCAGGATCGCAACCGCCCCACCAACATCCCTAACGCCCATGGTAAGTTGCAAGTTGTCATGCTGCCCATTTTCATTTTGGTGTCATATGATTTTGACATCCCCTAGACATCTTTTTCTTCTTTCTTTCTGTCTTTACTTTTTTTTCCGTCTTTCTTTTTTCTGTCTTTATTTTTTTTTTCTCCGTCTTTCTTTGAAAAAAATTTTTTTTAATCCTTATTTTCAAGTATAGCTTTTTCTACTCCTACGCATCTATTTCCTCCTACTCTTCTTCTTCTTCTTGTTATTGTTCTGCTTCTTCTTGTTCTTGTTTTTCTTCTTGTTCTTCTTGTTCTTGTTCTTCTTCTTCTTCTTCTTCTTCTTCTTCTTCTTCTTCTTCTTCTTCTTCTTCTTCTTCTTCTTCTTCTTCTTCTTCTTCTTCTTCTTCTTCTTCTTCTTCTTCTTCTTCTTCTTCTTCTTCTTCTTCTTCTTCTTCTTCTTCTTCTACCTCTTCTTTTTCGTCGTCGTCGTCGTCTTCTTCTTCTTCTTCTTCTTCTTCTTCTTCTTCTTCTTCTTCTTCTTCTTCTTCTTCTTCTTCTTCTTCTTCTTCTTCTTCTTCTTCTTCTTCTTCTTCTTCTTTCTTCTTCTCTTCTTCTTCTTCTTCTTCTTTCTTCTTCTTCTTCTTCTTCTTCTTCTTCTTCTTCTTCTTCTTCTACGTTTATCACCCTAATATATGTGAGTATGTATGTATGTGTGTGCGTGCGCGCTTTCTGTGAGCCGCCATATTTGGTAATTATAAACAAACAAACAGTCCTTCCTCTTTGAGCGCGTTGTAGACAGCAGCTTTCTTGTAATCTTTCATTTGTCTTCATACATATTGTATGCCTTCATACATAGATACGTTTAAATACATACAGTTTATTTGTATACATATTGTATACCTTTATACATCGATATATTTTAATACATACAGTATTTTGGCAACATTTATGTATGTATGATTTCATCCCGCCAGCTGTGGTGTTCCAAGTGTGCATACAGAACCGGTACAAGCTCAACAAGAAGTATAGGAAATGCCTGGGGAATCACCAGCTGGACACCACAGAGCCGGTCATCAGAGCTCTTCTGTCACAAGCTAAGGTACGGTCACTCAGGGTGGATGTTGGTCACTCAGGGTGGATGTTGGTCACTCAGTGTGGATGTTGGTCACTCAGGGTGGATGTTGGTCACTCAGGGTGGATGTTGGTCACTCAGGGTGGATGTTGGTCACTCAGGGTTAATGTTGACACTCAAAGTGGATGTTGGTCACTCAGGGTGGATGTTGGCCACTGAATGTGAATGTTGGCCACTTAAGGTGGATGCTCGTCACTCAGGGTGGATGTTGGTCACCCAGGGTGGATGTTGGTCACTCAAGGTGGATGTTGGTCACTCAGGGTGGATGTTGCTCACTCAGGATGGATGTTGGCCACAGAACGTGGATGTTGGTCACTCAGGGTGGATGTTGGTCACTCAGGGTGGATGTTGGTCACTCAGGGTGGATGTTGGTCACTCAGGGTGGATGTTGGTCACTCAGGGTGGATGTTGGTCACTCAGGGCGGATGTTCTTCACTCAGGGTGGATGTTGGTCACTCAGGGTGGATGTTGGTCACTCAGGGTGGATGTTGGTCACTCAGGGTGGATGTTGGTCACTGAGGGCGGATGTTCTTCACTCAGGGTGGATGTTAGTCACTCAGGGTGGATGTTGGTCCTCTAAACTGTACTTATCTTCCCTATCCAGTTAATGGTAATATTTTAGGCTTCGTCGAAGTGAAGGCCTTTATTCACACCCACACACAATGCCTTTGGGTCGACAGGCAAGGCAAGGGATGAAAGCGTGGGGGGTCATGCTATATACTCAAGGGATAAAGGCGTGGGGGTCATGCTATATACTCAAGGGATAAAGGCGTGGGGGTCATGCTATATACTCAAGAAGTGAAGGCGTGGAGGTCATGCTATATACTCAAGAAGTGAAGGCGTGGGGGTCATGCTATATACTCAAGAAGTGAAGGCGTGGGGGTCATGCTATATACTCAAGGGATAAAGGCGTGGGGGGTCATGCTATATACTCAAGGGATAAAGGCGTGGGGGGTCATGCTATATACTCAAGGGATAAAGGCGTGGGGGGTCATGCTATATACTCAAGGGATAAAGGCGTGGGGGTCATGCTATATACTCAAGGGATAAAGGCGTGGGGGTCATGCTATATACTCAAGAAGTGAAGGCGTGGAGGTCATGCTATATACTCAAGAAGTGAAGGCGTGGGGGTCATGCTATATACTCAAGAAGTGAAGGCGTGGGGGTCATGCTATATAATCAAGGGATAAAGGCGTGGGGGGTCATGCTATATACTCAAGGGATAAAGGCGTGGGGGTCATGCTATTTACTCAAGGGATAAAGGCGTGGGGGGTCATGCTATATACTCAAGGGATAAAGGCGTGGGGGGTCATGCTATATACTCAAGAAGTGAAAGCGTTGGGGGTCATGCTATATACTCAAGGGATAAAGGCGTGGGGATCATGTTTTATACTCAAATGATACAGGCGTGGGGGGTCATGCTATATACTCAAGGGATAAAGGCGTGGGGGTCATGCTATATACTCAAGGGATAAAGGCGTGGGGGTCATGCTATATACTCAAGGGATAAAGGCGTTGGGGTCATGCTATATACTCAAGGGATAAAGGCGTGGGGATCATGCTATATACTCAAGAAGTGAAGAAGTGGGGGTCATGCTATATACTCAAGAAGTGAAGGCGTGGGGGTCATTCTATATACTCAAGAAGTGAAGGCGTGGGGGTCATGCTATATACTCAAGGGATAAAGGCGTGGGGATCATGCTATATACTCAAGGGATAAAGGCGTCGGGGTCATGCTATATACTCAAGGGATAAAGGCGTGGGGGTCATGCTATATAGTCAAGGGATAAAGGCGTGGGGTCATGCTATATACTCAAGGGATAAAGGCGTGGGGATCATGCTATGTAGTCAAGAAGTGAAGAAGTAGGGGTCATGCTATATACTCAAGAAGTGAAGGCGTGGGGGTAATGCTATATACTCCAAGGGTGAATGCAGGACGGTTCTTGTCATATACTCTGGGAGGTGGGGCGGGGGTGAACTAAGAAAATGTTGGAAACCTCTGCTTTAGACAAGTGTTTATTTCGTATAATTCCCTTTGTGAGTTCCGCGGCCCTAATGCAGGAGGGGGAGGGGGTGGATGAGAGTGGGGTGGGGGGGGGGGGGAGAGGGAACCCACTGTCTCTAATGTGCATAACTTACGAGGAGACTTATTATCAATGTATCCTTTGAGGTCAGAGGGCGTCAGCCTGAGAGGCAAGAAACGAACAGTCTGCTGACAGGTTTGCCAGGTCTGTAAATCGGATGTGCTCGCACGACTCAAGTTGTGGAACATGGTCTGTCGTTGAGAAGTGGATCGACAAGTAAAGCTTTCGGCCGGAGTTTATACAGCGTGATCTCGAGGAGGTGGAAGCTGTGAAAGTTTCGTCGAGTTTGTCAGCTGCTCACACACGCACAAACCACACACGCGCGTGCGCATTCACACACGCGCACAGGCACGAGGCCTAAGTAACGAAAAAAATGAAACATTTGTCACATATTAAGCCGACCTACACACATTCAGAGTCATCACCTCGAAAGAGAGGGTCAGCCACTGAAATCAACAGAGGCGGGTGATATATGCAGAGATGAACCTCATGGCTTCCGAATGCTGCAGAAGAAGAAGAAAAAGAGGAAGAAGAAGAAGAAGAAAAAGAAGAAGAAGAAGAAGAAGAAAAAGAAGAAGAAGAAGAAGAAGAAGAAGAAGAAGAAGAAGAAGAAGAAGAAGAAGAAGAAGAAGAAGAAGAAGAAGAAGAAAAGAAGAAGAAGAAGAAGAAGAAGAAGAAGAAGAAGAAGAAGAAGAAGAAGAAGAAGAAGAAGAAGAAGAAGAAGAAGAAGAAGAAGAAGAAGAAGAAGAAGAAGAAGAAGAAGAAGAAGAAAAAGAAGAAGAAGAAGAAGAAGAAGCAAGAAGAAAAAGAAGAAGAAGCAAGAAAAGAAGAAGAAGAAGAAGAAGAAGAAGAAGAAGAAGAAGAAGAAGAAGAAGAAGAAGAAGAAGAAGAAGAAGAAGAAGAGGAAGAAGAAGAAGAAGAAGAGGAGAAAGAAGAAGAAGAAGAATAAAAAGAAGAAGAAGAAGAAGAAGAAGAAGAAGAAGAAGAAGAAGAAGAAGAAGAAGAAAAAGAAGAAGAAGAAGAAGAAGAAGAAGAAGAAGAAGAAGAAGAAGAAGAAGAAGAAGAAGAAGAGAAGAAGAAGAAGAAGAAGAAGAAGAAGAAGAAGAAGAAGAAGAAGAAGAAGAAGAAGAAGAAGAAAAAGAAGAACAAGAAGAAGAAGCAAGAAAAGAAGAAGAAAAAAAAGAGAAGAAGAAGAAGAAGAAGAAGAAGAAGAAGAAGAAGAAGAAGAAGAAGAAGAAGAAGAAGAAGAAGAAGAAGAAGAAGAAGAAGAAGAAGAAGAAGAAGAAGAAGAAGAAAGACAAGAAGAGGAAGAAGAAGAAGTAAAAGAAGAAGAAGAAGAAGGAAAAGAAGAAAAAGAAGAAGAAGAAGAAGAAGAAGAAGAAGAAGAAGAAGAAGAAGAAGAAGAAGAAGAAGAAGAAGAAGAAGAAGAAGAAGAAGAAGAAGAAAAAGAAGAAGAACAACAACAAGAAGAAGAAGAAATGAATGAATGTGTGGTGAGAAGAACTGAAAAAATTTAAAGGACTACTAATTTCGCGTTTGAAAATGAAAAGGTTAACAAAACGGATGAATGAATGAAATTGAATTCACTACCTTCAACCACTTTTTTTTTGTTCTTGAATGTTTCCCAGATGGCCGCAGAAGCAGAAAAGAAAGACAACTTGGCAGAACAGAACCGCCAGCACGGTAAACGGGTGAGATACGGCGAGATCGTGCAGGTAATAACGGCCTTTGATTGCCATCAAGTGAATTATTGTTGTAAACATTTGGCGAGGGTCGAAACAGATGGTATAGGCTGGCGCTTTATCTGTCTTAAGGGTATTGGAGTCTTCCACATTTACCCCCCTCCTCGTCCTTCTTATACTTCTTTATCATCCTCATCATAATCAGCATAATCATTATGTTATTCTTCTTTTTCCACTTCTTCTTCTTCTTCTTCTTCTTCTTCTTCTTCTTCTTCTTCTTCTGCTTCTTCTTCTTCTGCCAAAAGAACTGAATGTAAGATGGGCTTGCGAGCCCAATTCTTACCTCTTTTTAAATAAAGTTTGTTTGTTCAACTTCTACTACTACTACTACTACTACTACTACTACTACTACTACTACTACTACTACTACTACTACTACTACTACTACTACTACTACTTCTACTACTACTACTGCTGCTACTACTACTACTACTTCTTCTTCTTCTTCTTTTTCCTATTGCTCTTCTTTTTTTCTTCTGATTTTTGTTGTTGTTGTTAATATTAGTAACAGAAAAGAAGAAGAAGAAGAAGAAGAAAAAGAAGAAGAATTCTTTGTCTTCTTCTTTAAGTGGTTGAAGGTTGTGAATTCAATTATTATTTTATTATTATTCTTATTATTTACCTGTTCATTTTTGAGTAGGTATTTATGAAATTGTTCACTCCCCCCTGTTGTCTGATTTCTCAAGAATGTTGATATTATGTATAGTGTTTTGTGCTGCTTAGTTATGTAAACATTTCAGGTGCATGTTTTCCTTGATAGTTTTCCTGTGCTCTTTTACATCGTGTATTTATATATAACTCCTTTTCACATTACCGCTTCCGTTGGTAGGTTGTATACAATTCATATCTTTGTTTCATAGTTGCGATGAAAAATGTAGTAGTGTCAAAATTTCAGTATTTTCTCCCTCACAGTTTTCTAAAAATTCTTTTTATCATTTAAGTGCGAGATGATTTCCCAGCGGAAATTCATTCTGGTACAATAACCACAGCATCGAAGTAGATCTGTTTTACTTTTAAAAGACGCACCATCCATCGTGCTGTATAGTAAAATAGTTAACAATATTTCTGTAGCACACACAGACCAAACATGAGAAATACAATACATATTGTGTAGTACCTGAGTAGTAGCTAATAACACACAGTGTGTTGGCTGGGATAGAAAGAATTAATGTCATTCTCTCCCCCCCCCCCGCCCACCCCCCCCCTCCCCCAAGCTCCCAGTCCCCAATAATGCATTAACAATTGTCCAACTGTTGGGCTGCCTATAAATACAACCAGTTTTTCTGTCGATACGTTACAATCCGATGCTAAGCACAGACCTCTAGTTACTTTGTAACCGTCTAATATAACTTGGGATTGAACAGGATTTGTACGTGTAGGATTCTATTCCTTGAGCTGTTAGTACTGCGGACTGGAGTCCTAGAGAAGACAAACTACATCTGCTGTCAAAACAAATCCCTGGACCTTTGGTAACCTCCATGGCACTACTAAGTCTCCGGACCTTCTGCCACTCAGAAAACTCGTTATGGCCATGACTCAGGTAACCATACTTTCAGGATAGCCACAATACATTCCTCTATAAATACGGTGTCGTTGTAGGGTTGTGTTCACACATCAGTCTCGGCTGATGACAGCGGGTTTTGAATACGTACCAGATAATCAAATGTGTCACTGAGAAATTTACAAGCGGCGGCGTGTTACGGAACAGTTGGCCATTAATCTGCCGCTAAGGAATAAGATCCCTACGGTTCTGGAGGAACCGGTGAAGAGCCTTGGTCGCGTTAACGATTCGAAGTTATCTGATAGAGCGGAGGTCCGGCGAATACACGAGTCACTGGCTACACTCCTGCTCGCGATCGAGCGTTGCAGGCTGATTGGGAAGTTCAAGGTCTGGTGTCTCCAATTCATGTTGATTCCAAAGCTCCTCTGGCCGCTATTAGTCTACTAAGTGACGATGATTGCAGTGGAGATGATGGAGAAAAAGATCAACACAGCCTTAAGAAAGTGGATTGGTGCACCGCCTTGTCTGACCGACGTGGCTCTGTATTGTAAGCAGGCTAAGCTGGTACTCCCGTTCAAATCGATAACCGAAGAGTTTTAAGTCGGCAAAGTAAGACTCGCCATGCTCTTGCGCGAGTCTTCAGACCCAAATGTCATCGCTGTCCAGCCCGCTCTAAAGACTTGTCAGAAGTGGAGAGTCCTCGATGCGATCGAATCTGCCCAGAATGCACTAACATTGAGGGAGATTATGGGATACACTCAAACCGACCGTCGAGGCGTAGGTCACGGGAAGGTCAGTTGGTGGTCCAAAGCCACAACCAAAGAGCGCCGAGACTTGGTAATACAGCAAGTAAGGGACAACGAAAACGAGGTTCGGGTCCAAAAAGCTGTCTAACAGTCGCAGCAGGGCCATTGGGTCAGCCTGGAGAGCGCATTGCCAAGAGTACTCACATGGGGTGAGATCTGGCGAATGACCCCGCTGCGACTGAGCTTGATTGTTCGTTCTGCGTACGATATATTACTGTCCGGTGTCAACATGGTGAAGTGGTTTGCGACTAACGACCCGACATGCCCGCTGTGCAAAGCGAAGCAGACGTTAGAATACGTTCTGTCCGCATGCAGGAAAGCCCTAGGTCAAGGCCGATACACCTGGCGCCACAACAAGGTGCTAAAAGAGTTGGCAGTTGTTGTGGACCAGGCTAGGATGCGGGCCAATGCGAGGGCCAGTCCTACCGTCGTCCACATACACTTTCTCAAGGCTGGGCAGATTCAAAAGGGTAAAATCAACAAAGGCGCATTCGCTCCATCTATGCTAGACTCTGCGAGGGACTGGTTACTGGCGGTTGATCTGCCTGGCCATGAAAGGTACCTTGAGTCAATTCAAAGGACCGGCCTGCGACCTGACATAGTTCTCCACTCTGCGGAGAAACGGCAGCTTATCCTGATTGAGCTGACCGTCCCGTATGATTCGCGAATGGACGAAAGCCATATGTATAAGCTCGAGAAATACAGTGACTTAGCAGCCGATCTGAGGAGAGACGAAGCGTACACAGTACGAGTCTTTGCCGTCGAAGTGGGTGCGAGAGGTCTCGTTTCCACTTCACTCTACAATGTGGTTAAAGAACTAGGATTGCGCGGTAATGAACGAAAACGGATACTTAAACAGCTGGGCGAGGTTGCTGAGAGGGCCTCGAACTGGCTCTGGATACAACGAAACAACGTAGGGGACGGGCCTCGGTGAGCTGGTCCGGGTGTCTAGCGGAAAAGAAATTCTCATCCCTTGAAAGTCCATCGTGTCCGAATTGTCTGCCAGTGTCCCTATGCCACCTGCCAACAAAGTCCAACATGTGTCTGGTATACCAATAGTAAGCTTGCCGCTCGGTCGTTCAGGTATGCAGACTGCTCTAATTATGATACCGCGACGACTTTTTATCTCACAGTACCTTCTGCAAAATCACTAAATCGTCTTGTCCCTTTCCGAACAACATCTGGTAATTTCGTGCAGCAGGGGAAACCAACCCTGAGCTTCATGAACTCAGGTGGGCCCACTCTCTGAGAATGTCTAGGAGCTCGTAAGCCGAAACATTTGTCGACGAGAGGTTAACTTCTACTGATGATTGGTAGATCCCTGCTGTACATGCTCCCCTGTGGAGTTTCTTCTTTTTATTGGAAATAGTACACCTCTATATGTCATCCCTCTGTGGCTAAGTCGATGCGAACGCTTCGTAATGCCGGGGTGCCAGGTTCGATCCCAGCTGCGGGCCATGCGCCTTGCGTTGGTTTCAACAGTGGTGTCAAGAAAGCCGACCGTCCAGAAAGCAATGACAAACTACTGGACGTAAATTTGCCTAGAGAAACCTCACAACGGCCAGGGGCTGCTGGGGTTGGTTCTGCAACGTCCTGTTAGAGCTAGAGCCAGCAGTGTCCAGACCTGCCACGGGAATTCCGCAAATATGCTGTATTGCGTGATGCTTCCCCGAGGTCTTTACTGTGTAAACTTATGGGGGTGGGGGGAACGGGTTGGTGCTTGAACAGTAGGACTCGGGCACCCTGCGCCCCCTCGCATCCCACGCATCACACAGATTGTAAGTGTGGGAAACTAACCCCCCCCCCCCTTTCCCCACCTATAACACCCCCCCCCCTTTTTCCCCCGCGCAATTCTTCCCTAGAAAATGTGAAAGCAGAATAAGTGCATTATCCTAACACCGACCTCGTACAGACGTTATGTTTCATGAATTTGTTTATACGGAGTGCAGATTCGTCAATCTTCATCACATGGGTCATTAGGTATCATTTGGATATGTAACATTAACAACTGGGCATTTCACCGACAAATTCTCCAAATTACCCATTGAATAATCGGGCGTCCGTATATCAAGTGGCCAATTGTTTTTTTTATGGCTCTGAAACTTGGAGCACAACTAAAAGAGATGAAGTATTATTACAAATTTTCAAAAACAGAGTCTTACGACGAATCCTTTAACCCATCAAAGATGCAAACAGTAGGGAATGAAAAGTGAGACGCGGCAATGAAATTTATATTTTGTTTAAGTCACCATTGACCATTGGTGTCATGAGGGGTAATAGACTGAAATGGGTGGGGCATACTGAGAGAATATGAGAAAAAGATAGGTAAAAACTGTATCTACGAGGCAGACCAAGAATACGATGGAAAGATAAAATCAAGACAGACCTGCAAACACTGGGTGTTACCAACTGGAAAGAGAAGGTCATCCAGAGAGATGAATGGAGGCGGTTGATATCTGCAGCAATGAACCTCAAGGGCTCAAAATGCTAGAGAAACAGAAGTATGTATCGTGGGAACTATGCCAGTATTACAGAGTTCAGCATGAAATTCTAGAGTATACGAGCCAGACAAACTGTACAGATTATATGTTCCCATCACGTCCCGATCCTACACACCAGTCAGTTAGGTATGTCGTTGGCAGACTTTCGTCGAACGCTGGAGATGCTCAGTATTTCGTCCATGGCCACAACTTTGCCTCCGGTTTGTGTGTGCGCGCGCGCACGCGTGTGTGTGTGTGTGTGTGTGTGAGTGAGAGAGGTTATAATGTATAGACCAGTGATTCCCAAACTGTGCGCAGCGGTGCCTCGGGGAGCTGCGACCTCTTCACAAGGTCGCCGCGAAATATTCAAAGATACGGGAGTTTTTTTTTTTTTTTTCAATGTTACACACGAAAAGTCATACTTTTACTTAAGTTAGGGCGCTGGGGAAAATTTTAGTTATAAAAAACGCGCCGTGACTAAGACAAGTTTAGGAAACACTGGTATAGATTATTCCTGATTATTTGAAAATAGTAATGAATCTCTGGAGATGTGAGAGTACAGAAGAATAGATCGTTTTTTCATGGAAAGTGAAAATAATCAAATACAGAGGTTCTGAAGAGGTTTACAGTGAAATGATGTCTACTGACCGGGAAAAAAAGTAATCGGTAAAATATTTAACAAGTTTAAAAAAAATGTAAAGGATCCTTTTCACGCCTTCAGCTGTATTGGGCATATAGGGCTGGATCTATATTTTATAGACCAATCGACACTTGGGGGGTGATGTGGTCAACATAACGCCGGGTGAAATACTTTGATCATATTAAAAGAAGCACTCTAATTTGAAGGGAAAAAAATAATACTGAAGGGGAAAAGTTAAAGACAAGTTGGCAAGAGGTAGACAGCGATATACTGGGAGGTTAACTTTGAGAGATAGACGCACAGAATGTCTGAGAGCGTGTACATCCAAGGCGAAGACAGAAAGTGTTGAAGATCCATTGCCACCAACCTCCTTTATAAGGAAGACGCTTGACTTACTGATTCATTTTTATTATGACTCTTTGTATATGTGTGTGTTATTTATTAACTAATTGTTTGTACATGTTGTACATCAACTGATATGGTGCACTCACTTTCTTCAGTTGAAGCATATGTTCACTGGGAAATTTGTACACATGAGTACAACACATACAAGCAAGAAGGACAAGAACAACATGAAGGTAGGCTAATCTTATACACACATTCTTTCATATTCAAAAGTACTATATGTTGATATTTTCTACTGACATGCACATAGTTATTCTACGTGCACATGCACACGTTTCTTCTGATTAATTGTCACAATCTAACCTACTTTTTGTCAATGTGTGTTCTATATTATAATCGCGTATCTTTTCCGTCAATGTTTAATGTTTCTACTAGTACGATTAAATCTTCATATGTGAAACATTGGCAGAAAACCTCAGCTATAAGAATTAACAGCCATATCAGAGTATAAAGAAGTGTGTAAGACAATGATCTGTATCATCATTAGATATATTTCCGTTACATAGTGAACATAGACTGATATCTATAACGGAAATGCCTGGACCTCTGGTTGATAGTCATAATATCAACAACCCAGGTTGCCCTGCCACAACATAAAGTTTTCAGGTTGCATTTCCTCTTCCTAGGATAAGGCTAGCATCCTCCCCCAATGCGCTCCTCCGCCCGAAGCCGTTGGCACAGTATGGGATGTTGGGTTAGTATACGCCGCCCAATATTCGGCGTAACAGAAGACAGGTGGTACCGGCTACTGTTATACAGTAGCTCAGTCATATCTGACCAAGACCTGACCACACTGTTGACAACACCCACCTAATAGCGACAAATCAGAAGAAAACTGCAAGAACTAATAGACACGGTAGCGGTAGAAAGTGAAAAAATGGGCCTCAGCTTGAAAAACTAGATGCGAATGAAATGGTAAAATGAAACAAAGAATTGTGCCTAAATGTAAAATAACTATCAATGATGCTATTTTCGACAGTTATCTAGACAAATGGATAATGCTTATAATATTTTGACCAAGAAGAAGAAAAACATCGAAATTCCGTATGACCTCGGCATCAAGGAGAACTGGCTCATAAACAGCATTATGTCCCGAAAGCTGGGATATTTTGGCTGTATCAAGCGTCGTATTGGTCAAGAGAGAACGGTGATGAAAGATGCAGTTTCCGAAAAACGATGCAGAAGTCGACCTCAGTGAAGATTCAATGCACTGAAGATGCACTGGCTCTGAAAGTACACAAGGCTCGAGAATATGCTAGAGACGCACAAACATTCAGGCGTGCCGTGAAGAGAGCGACGTTCTGTGAAGGACCTGAGGAGTGATTGACTAAGACAAATGGACATAATCAGATAGTAATATATCACAGTTCTTATCTTATCTAAACTGGAGATAACAATAATGGAGGGGTAAATTCCCGGGAAGAGGAAGGCCAAAGAGAAGTTGGGTGCAGGATGTGGCGGATGATCTCCAGATGAGTTTATAGGACGCGGGACATCTTGCTTGTGATGGAAAAGTTTTTCGGAAGGTTGTTATTGTAGCAATGTTCTTCAAAGGGCACACCACTGATTGACGGACGTATCTAATAACTTTACCGTTTTTATCGAGTTTAAGAATGACTGCCTTGTTTGTTTTTGCCACTCTATGATATTTTTTTGCATCATTGTCATAAATCACATTACCTCTACGAGTGAATGTTTTTTTTTTTTTAGCCCTTGTGCTCAAACTAAAGGTTTATTTTGCAGCCTTTAGGCATATAGGGTATAAGATGCTAAACCTTCCGTATTTCCCCAGGTATAAGACGCTCTTATTTTCTAAACTTTTGATGGATTGGCAACTTTCCTTCTTTCGAGACGATAGTTTTATATTGTGTATTGAGGAGGCATTAGGCTTACAAACCATGGCGATGGCGAGTATGACTAGCAAGACCTGCCCGTGTGAAGATTTGCCAAATAAATAGGGTCAAAAAGCAATGTACGTCGTATAAAGTGGTCGTAGATTACTAGAATGTCTTTACACTGGAATCATCAGGGGCATAGAAATAAACGAAGACAAAGAAAAAAATATATGGAGAATGGTGCCAGAGAGTAAAGTTGAAAAGACTGGAACGATATGGTGTAAGCTGCATGCAAAAGCGAAGAATAGAACGGCTTGGGGTGAGTTGGTCGAAGGCCTGTGCTTCGCTGGGGGATATAAGGTAGTAGAAGTAGATTTGTTACCAAATGATTTGTTAGAAAAAATCTCTTGCAAGGCCTCATTTGGGAATGCTGGTTCAGGGGCGACATTAAATGGAAAATAAAATATGAAATTAAAACTCATTTTCCTGAAGTAATAGTTTGTGTGCTTGTCTTATCGCTTATTGTTTCACATTTGTTATAATATATGAAGACAGTGAGAGTTTTGACAATGATATGTTTTCTGGATTCAGGATTAATAAAGCCTGACCTTAATAACTTATTTAGTAAAGTAAAGATCCCTTATTACGCCTTGGGCGTATCGGGCATGTGGGCAGAGCGTCCCATATTTTTACAGACCAATGAGCACTGGATGGGTAATGTGGTCAGCATTACGCCGGCCGTCTTTACTTTCCCAGGACAGCCATCCTGGTACCCATTTTAGGCTGGGTCGACCTGCGACGTCCCATACCACGATAAAACTCCACGCAGCCTGCAGTGGGTCTCGATCGCGGTACGTTGGATCACGAGTCAGACTCGCAACGCCTAGCCCACGGACACCGCTAACAACATAACCTTATTAATTTTTTTCTTCAAAATTTCCCAAGGTGCATCTAATGCAGCGATTCTCAACCTGTGAGTCGCGACCCTGTTTTGGTCGAACGACTCTTTCACAGGGTTCGCCAAAGACCATCGTAAACACATATTCACTGGAGTTATGAAGTAGCAACTATAATAACTGTATTGTTGAGGGACGCCAGAGCATTCAGATCTGTTTTAGAGGGTCGCGGCATTGCCAAGGTTGAGAACCACTGGTCTAATACACGGAATCGTCTTACACTGGGAGAAATACGTTATACTTTTCTAGACCAATCGACAATCGGTGGGTGATGTGGTCAGCGCCTTGTAACTATTTGAGACTGGGTCGACCTTGGAGCCAATGCATCATCATTGACGACCGGGTCACCCATTGGCTCGCCGGTAGACAACTTCGTCGCTGTTCGGGGCAGTATTTGGGTCTGTCTGCTTTGATAGCATCAATACTGCTAGAGTCCTAAAGCTTCCCCTTCGGGGATGCAGGTTAAACGTGACAATTTTTTTTTTCAGAGCCAAGTTCAATTTTTGATAGAGAGTCTAATCCCTATACCACGCAGCTGCCCTTACTTATACAAAGTAAAATAATAAGGTGTGTGGCACCTCGGTATTGTGCTCATCTGTAATTAGTGTGTGCACAAACATATTACCTAATTCTGCATGTGTCATAAACAAAATAAACAACGCCATTTTTACTCTGCAGGTCTCGCTCATAGAATTTAACGCCAAGAATGCCCAGTTTAGAATTCTTCCCCGCTACAAAGTTAAATCAGAAGGAGAAGTGGTATGTTAATCATTATATTCACATTGCGGTTTTTTCATTAACAAATACACCATTATTTTTATTACTATTATGTTATTAATCTTGTTGCTGCTGTATTACAAATATCATTATGATGTCACCAGAGCTTTTTTTCTGGTGGTATGCCACAGTACGTGGTACGCACATCCTTTTAGGTCATCATTTTATTTTTAAATTCTATTTTAACAGACACTTTGTAATGAGTGATGTTACCTTTTTAGATACATTGTAGAGAGTACGGATACCCATTTTTCTAGAAACGAACAAAATGCCTTGGATGTCAACGTTATCATGTGGCCTGTCGATAAGCGAAGTATGTTACATTTCCACTGTTCTACACAATGCGCATAGTTCTAGCGCAGGTGTAAATTGTTGTCCCAGACATGTCATTTGGTCAAGACATTCGGGAACCGAACTTCATGTCAGTGGTCTTCAAATTTTGTTCAGGTCCCTCCTCCCCCCGCCCTTTTTCCGTATATGGCAAGAACCTACGCCCCGCTCAGTAAATGACCGCCACGCCCCCGTGAGTATAGGACAAGACCGCCACGCCTCCTTGAGTATAAGACAAGACTACCACGCCCCCTTGAATATATGACAAGACCGCCACGCCTCCTTGAGGATATTACAGTAACGCCACGCCCCTTTGAATATATGACAAGACCGCCACGCCTCCTTGATTATATTACAAGACCGCCACGCACCCTTGAATATATGACAAGACTGCCACGCCCTTTGAATATATGACAAGACCGCCACGCCCCCTTCAATATATGGCAAGACCGTCACGCCTCCTTGAGTATATGACAAGACCGTCACGCCTCCTTGAGTATATGACAAGACCGCCACGCCTCCTTGAATATAGGCAAGACCGTCACGCCTCCTTGAGTATATGACAAGACCGCCACGCCTCCTTGAATATATGACAAGACCGCCACGCCCCCTTGATTATATGACAAGAACGCCACGCCTCATTGAGTATATGACAAGACCTCCACGCCTCCTTGACCTTATTAATGTATTATCACTTCACCTTTGTTTGAGTCTCACATCACGATTGCTTATGTCCTGTCCATGAACCTATAATCGCATATCAACATGTTCTCACTGTGTGAGTCTAACAGCAAATGTCCTTATGTTGCAGGTACAACTCTACGATCAGATCGTGTTTGAAAGTGTCAAGTCGCCAGGACATTATTTTCACGCCAGCGAACCATACCAGATCGATCATTATTCCTTTGGGTAAGTTGTCCTCCCCGAATCTCAGTTTGAAACTTTCGGAAGTAGTCATTAACTCAGACCCGTCTATGTCAGCCCCGCCCAGATTACACTCTTATCATTGACGTAGTCAAGAAACCGAACACAACGAGCTGTGGAGAGAAGATACCGGAGAGTAAAACTGCCTCACAACGAGGGAGTATCTGCTTCTGTGTGTATCCTGTGTGGCAAAGGCTGCCATTCCCGCATCGGACTTTACAGTCACAGCAGATGCTGTTCCCAAAGCCAGCAGCGCATCTCTATCGTCCCCCGGGACTGACGGATGTCATTACTTAGTCCAACCAGGACACTATCATTGGACTTTCAGTCTCCACCTAAGCTGTCAGAAGGTCAAGTGTAAGTGACAAGGGTGTTACTTATCACTCTAGTGTATATGATGGAGTGCGGACGGGTACACGATGTATTGCACTGGCTTTTCTGAGCGGCTTAGTGTATAGTATTAGAGTTTGTTCATGGGTAAATGGCAGCCATCTAGGATTTTGCGTAGGAAATGAGTTTATTGCAGAGGGTAGAGTTCAGTGTCTGCAGCGACACAGCGTTATGGAAGCCACCTCAAAATGTTAAGACATCTGAAACCTCGGCACGTAGAATGCACTGTCTCGTGGGACCTAGGCTCGGTTCTAAGGTAGTAAATGCGTGTCATAATTTGACACGCATCGGACACAGGCACGGCGACACCCCTCTAACCTTAAAACAAGTTGACTGGCCTAACCTGGTATGAAGGAAAAGTTGCGTAGTGTGTAAATAGGCGGAGCTGACGTAATGGGCCTGAAAACGTGACATATTCCAAACTTTCTACTCCACTCATACTCTTGCTGGACTTAAAAGCATGCATCACTATACTTGAGCTTCATTCACTGACGAATTTCTAAAGATTTCACTCCTTCAGTGATTAATAAATGGATAAAAGATAACTGCTCCTCTTTAGTGCATATCAAAATTAGGGCACCATTTTTTAAACTGACATTATGATGTCACCATGTTCGTCTGCACCCTGATGTCATGCATTGAACACTCTTGACATCTTGACAACAATAGTGAACGGTTACAAGACAGAGACCTGGTTATTGTCATTTCTATCATACTGTAAGGTTTTTATTTGAAGCCCCTAGAAATTAGAAAGGCATGTTACTGAGTCTTGTATTTTGTTTCTGTCAGCTCGGAGCTCAATCTTGGCGTCGAGAGGTCAAGTTTTACTTTAATTGGAAGCTACAGAGATCGACCAGAACAAGAGAGATTTGTCAGGGTAGGTTTACCGTTCTGTCCAAGTCATGAGATGAGTTGAGTCAAGAATTGATATCTTAGCACTCGTGGCACGGCATTCCAATGCGTGCTATGTTCTTATCTTAAGCAGCTAGCGCAGAGTTCCAATACTGAAGGTACCGGTCACAATCTGGTTATATATCCGTCTTGCTTTTACTCTGAGTGTAGTGAGCCAGCCAGACCTCCTTGTTACACGCAGGTGCCTCATTGTCTCCAGGCCATAATAATCGTCTTTCTCTACTGATTCTGTTGATTGTTTCCGAAGGACCTTGACCACATCTGCTATTTCATGCATCAATTCACCACCCAGTGGTGCAGATCCAGCCAGTCTGCCTGTTCATTACCACTACACCGGCATGGCCTGGAGAACAGATCCAAATTACGCTCACTACCTGTGACTTTCCAGTGAAGCTTGCCACTCTGCTCGAAGCATCCCTGTCTTCACCTTTCTCAGCATGCCTTGAGAGTTCTGTCCAAGTCATCTGAATGGGGAATGTTGAATTGGTGTGAAAAGAAACGAGAGAGCAGACATCCAGGCTGGCAGTGCGACTATCAGAAATGGGTCATCTATGGACAGGAGAAACATCATCAATGCCATACGAGACTAAACGCTGTGAGACGTTCAGGATCGTGAAAGAAAAATTTTTCACTGAACAGACTACATACCCTGGGTGTACCAGCTGGAACAGGGAGACAGGAAAACCACCCAAGATCACAACAACACAGCTCCCGAGCAATTGGTACTTAAGTACGGGACCGAAAGGTCCTACCAGCTTCACTAAAAGATGGTTTAGTGAACTGAGCAGAGTGTGCTGAATGTCGAGAAAAAAAAATAAGATATCGTTTGAAGCAATGAGACCACGTTTAAATTAAATGTTTCTGTAATTTGCTACAGTTGTGCCTTTAACATGTGTAACCACTTGTTGAGAAACTTTAGTTTTTCTTTCATTTTTTTTTTTTTTTTTTTTTTTTTGTTAGAATACAAACATAAATTTGGAAAACAAAGAAAATTAGAACCTCTTGACTGTACCTTTTATTTATTCGTATTACATGCATTATTAATTAATTATTTTTTATTATTAATTATTACATTACCTGTTACATTGCTATATGTTTTTCCTGTAGGGAGGTAGTGTTGTGCGTCTGTTTCACAAGGAACTAGAGGCGTATCTAGTAGCCGAAGGTCTGTTTGATGAAGCTGTTATTGAAGATGGTAAGACATTATACTTTTGTGTTGTGCAGCTGTCTGTTAAGATGGTATTAGCCATTATTGTGTCTTTGAGCAAAAACAGACACACTCAGACAAACATACGCTCACATTTATATATATACAACAGTGGTATCGAGATTTGACCCTTCAGTAAGCAGTGGCAAACGACTAAACGTAAAATGTGCATAGAACAACTTCATCAGCTGAAAAAAATGCTAGAGCTGGTTCTGCAACGTCCTGTTTAGGATTTGCAACTAACTTTTTTTAATTATTTAAACACGTTGTAAGCTTTCAGAAAAATCTCATAAACTGTCCGAAATAACGGTACACAGTCAAATAACATGCCTTGCATATCACATGTGAAGAACTCAGATGTATATGTAAGTTTGTTTAGGGCTATTTTCCTCTCGAGAGAAAAGAAATACACTAGTTATGACCACAAAGTGTCTAAAAATAAATAACCGGCACTTACTACTTCTACTACTTCTTCCTATTCTCTTCCACCGTGTACCTCATCGGAGTGTCAGAGGGAGATGTAACATTCGTTGATGAGCTCTGTCCACTATTATGACTGATGTTCATTTCTGTGAGGCTGTTCCTAATGCCATCACTCCATATTTCCGAGGTCTTCCACTCGCTCTATACCCGTTGTAACGTTTTAGTGTGGCTCGCTGTGGCAGATAGTACCGCTGCATTCTTGCAAGGCGTCCAACACTTTATTTTTTGTTATTTGATGACATGCAATACTGGCTTTATTCCTAGAATTCTTCTGATTTCGTGATTTCGTTTTCTGTCTTTCCTTGCTTACTACACAGTATCTATTACAGTAGCGTTGCCGAAATTTAAAAAAAAAAAAATATTTAAAAAAAACCACAAAAAACTTATGCATACCAAAATGAGCTGCCGATAAAGTCAGAAAGAGGAAGGACAGCTTTATGTATGCTACTTGCTTACCAGAAAGCAGACACACTATACCTGGTCTCAAATGCCGTTGTTTATTTAGTTAAAGATTATTTACTTATCGCCTTGATTTAGAATAACCAGTAACAACTGCAGTGACGGCTTGGAACTTGGAGAACGTTTCAGCTTTTCGCATCGCGTGATGTAAAATCTGGTCTCTCGTGCTCAGTGTGTCCTCTGTAAGTAGTTAACAATGCAGAAACTACACTAAGTTGTAGTAAACAAATACGACGAAATGTTTCTTCCGTTATTATTATTGTTTTGTTACTCGTCATGTATGTTCCGCCTTTTGTATTACTCCATGAACATGCTTTAGCAAATCGCAATAGGTAGTTTACGCTCTGAATGGGTAGAACGCATTCGGATGTTAATTTCTATTAAATGAAAGAGATGACAGCTTGCATCCTTGACACCAGTGCAAACGGACAGAAGCATGGATGAAGCTGATATAATCAAGGCTGTAGTTTGGGTCACAAAGATTAAATCGCTGACACTAACACGACTACATTGCCTGGGAGTAAAGCTTGGCGAAGCAAGACTTCGAGGTCAAGACAGGAGACACTATAACGAACTTCTCATGGGTACAACAAGTCGAGGTATCCTGGAGTGGCTGCTGCATTAGAGGACTGAGCATTCATGTGAATACCCAATGTGCAGGGACGTCGATTGTGAGAACAAAACATAATTCTTTTGATTTTGTCTTCTGTCGGTTTAGCAACTGACTTTTCTTGTCGCTTTTGTTGAAACAAAGACGTTAGCCAAAACATTGGCTACTTTTCCCTCTGTCATTCATTTTGTCACATTTCCAAGTTTTATTGTGTGTTTAACCATTCTGCCAAAATACTAACATCTACAGTTGTCACATTATTTCGTTAATGATTATACAACATCCATAATTCTTGAAATGGCTGGGGTATATTGAGAGAATGTCACTTGCCAGAGAGTTTAAGAACTGTGTACTAAAGGGAGGTGAATGCTCGTAGACCACGAGGCAGACCAAGAAGACGATGGCAAGATAATATCCGGACAGACATACAAACAGTATCACCAAGGCCAACCATAGATATCTAATGGAGGCGGGTTATATCTCCAGCAGTGAACCTCAAGGACTAGCAATGGTAAAGAATTTATACTTCTGTTGCACACACAAGGATCTTGCTTTTCTGCCTGTTCTTCCCAGTTCACTTCCGGATCCGGGCAATCGATCAGCACAGGCCGAAATCTCTGTCGCCGTCCACGTCGGGTCTGACTTATTGGCAAGTGGAAGCCGAGCACAGCATTATCGACGGTAAGTCCACTAGGATTAGCATGCCAGGATGACTGATTCCGTGTTTAACTGACTGGGTAAATGACTGACTCGTTAAATCGTAGTTGGCTGCCCAACTTTCTGGGTGACTGCTTAACTAGCTTGATGCATGGATGCTTGGCTGACTGTCTTGATGAATGGATGTTTGACTGATGGGCTTGATGAATGGATGTCTGGATGACCGGCTTGATAAATGGATGTTTGGCTGACTGGCTTGATGAATGGATGTTTGGCTGATTGGCTTGATGAATGGATGCTTGGATGACTGGCTTAAAGAATGGATGCCTGGCGGATTGGCTTGATAAATGTATGTCTGGTTGATTTGCTTGATGAATGGATGCTTAGATGACTGGCTTGATGAATGGAGGCATGGCTGATTAGCTTGAAGAGTGGATGCTTGGATGATTGGCTTGAAGCATGGATGCTTGGCATGAAGAATGGATGCTTGGATGATTGGCTTGAAGAATGGATGCTTGGCTGATTAGCTTGATGAATGGATGCCTGGCTGACTGCTTGATGAATAGATATTTAGATGATTGGCTTGAAGAATGGATGCCTAGCTGATTAGCTTGATGAATGGATGCCTGGCTGATTGGCTTGATGAATGGATGCCTGGCTGATTGGCTTGATGAATGGATGCTTGGCTGATTGGTTTGATGAATGGATGCCCAGCTGATTGGCTTGATGAATGGATGCTTGAATGATTGGCTTGAAGAATGGATGCTTGGATGAATGGCTTGAAGAATGGATGCTTGGCTGATTGCTTGATGAATGAATGTTTGGCTGATAAACCTGGATGAATGGGTGCCCAAGTGTCCTATTGGCTCGCTGATTCATATAATTAAAAAAAAAAACAGCCTGGTCTGATTGGTACAGTGGTCAGATGACTGAGCTCAACGACTTGCTGGTGGGATCTCTGGCTGACTGATTGGCTTTTTGACTGGCTGATTAGGTTAATGTTTGGCTGACTGATTAACTGGCTGGATGACTGACAGACTGACTGATCTGCTCGCTCCATGCCCTATCGTTTCTACAGTCATATTCGTCCGCCTCTCTAGAGTTTAATTTATGAAACGAGTGGTGTTTCAACCTGGTTATTTGATGTACTTGAGGAGAGAACAGTCCCCAGTCTTTTAGTAACTTACACTTGTAGCAGAGATGCGACTAGGTGGGTCGACCCCCTTGTGGGTTCCCGGGACCCAGTTTAGAGAAACAAGAATAGAGGCACCTCCCACCCTCCTCAATAAGAAATGCATGTCGTAAAAGTCGACTATTTAGAGCCATTTCTTTCGAAGTCAAAGTGCTAGGAACCAACAGTCTGCATGCAAAGAAGCCACATTTGTAAAAGAGATATATACGCAAAATTTATGTTCTAGAACAAGACTAAAGTTCAGAAGTGGACAAACAACCAGACATTTCTGCTGAAGTTTACAACCCGTGAAAACGAAGGAGAAGACAAAATAATAATAATAATAATAATAATAATAGGAAGAAGAAGAAGAAGAAGAAGAAGAAAAAGAAGAAGATGAAGGAGGGGAAAGAGCAGGAGGAGGGGGAGAAGAGAAATGAAAAGGAGGTCGGGTGTAACAGTGTGTCAGTAAGTCAGTACCACTGTCAGTTCTCAGGAACAGAAGCAATGAAAACTGGGTCATCCCACCAGTGAGTGTAGCTCGGACAAAACTGAACGCCTAACTGATCAGTGGTCAGTCGGACAGGCCAAGTCAGATGTGGTTGAAATGTGTAAGAGACGAACTTCAACCCCTTGCTGGAGATGTATGGATATGATGTGACATGTTGTTTGTTCCAGTCTTAGTGCCTGGTCCTGTTTATTATTATAACCAGTTTTCAGTGCCAGTTGTGATCTGCCAAATATTCAGCCAGTCGGTTTGTCATTAATGCGGTGCCGTCTTCTCTGGGAAAAGCAAATGTGTGTTTTAAAGTAACATATGGTTGTACTTGTGTGTGTGTAAGGTCTGCTGTTTTGTTGATGCTGTGAAGACAATATGGTTTGAGACATGAGTAAGTTTAATACTTCGTAATTTTTGTCCTCTTTATTATTATAACAAGATCACCGTTATGTGTGCCAGTCGATGTGTTATTAATGTGGCGCCGTCTTCTCAAGGAAACGCGAACGTGTGTTTTAAAGTAACGTATGGTTCTATGTTTGTGTATGTATATAAGGTCTGCAACATGCTGGGAAGACGCTGTTTTGTTGATGCTGTCAAGACAACATGGTTTGAAACATGAGTAAGGAATCTTACCTCAGCCTGAAGCAAGACGACGATTGTACATCTGCAGAAGCGCGTAGTTAAAAATTTTTAGGTTTGAGGTTTGAACAACTGATCAATATCATGCGACACGGGTAGTAACCCATAAGTGCTCCGTTCTTCTTCTATCTTAAGTCTGAGTCCGAAGAAGCTCAGCACAGTACACAGGCTCTGTAGCACCGGCGAGGATCCTGAAATACTTTGGGTAGATTTCAAACTCCAAATTTTGCCCGGGCTGCGCCGTTAGGCTACCCTTTTCGATTTCCAATTGCCAAGGCTTTTTGTACGTGAGCAACAATTCACACAGGTGTCGGTCTCACTACCCACAGACCAGGGGAAATTACTAGAAGTTCAAGTCCACATAACAAAATCCTAGCCCTCACCAGGGAATGAACCCAGAACCCCCAGCACTCGAGGCGGACACCATGCCTGGAGACCACGTAGCCCCAAAACTTGTTAAATCCCAGTGAAGATATCTGGGTGACCCCACTGTGTAAAACCTTCTATGAGAGTTTAAATCTAAATATACAGACTGAGACACCGCCGAGTGACGCTAAAGTAGACTCCATTTAAGGCAGATGACATATAAGAGTACTGAATCAAGACTGAAAATCAATCGAGCTTCTTTGAGTTCTTGTCCTTTTTTGATGTTATATAAAATCAGGATCTGAATGACGGCGACTAAGCAGCTTGCTTCAGGGCTGTGATGATCCGGCTGTTATTCGGTTTCATCTTCGGAGAGCTATTGTGGAGATGCTGGGAAATCGCAGCTGGATCTGCCAAGTTCACTTTTTGTGTCCTATGGAGAGAGATTGGAGTCAAAGGGTATAGAACCTGGTGCGAGAGAGTCGATGCAGTCACTCATTCTTTTCATTGTAGCTATCTGCAGTTATTTCTTTCATTCTAGCCACGTCAATATTTTATTTTATCGTTAAATGTTACGAAGAGGGCCACCATGGTCTTGTGGCTAGATCCTCGCCAGCGGATCGGAAGGTCGTGGGTTCGGGTCCTGCAGAGAACCGGATTTTTCCCAAAATGACCTAAGCTCCCAGCTGTGAGTGGGTACCAAACAGTGTTGCCACTTTTCTCTCACAAAAAACATCCAAAACGGAGCTTACAAAATATCTAAAAACATCTAAGTTTTTGTGGAAAACATCTAAAAAAAACATCCGAATGAAAAGAGTCACAAATTACATAGCAATTGATATGACTTACCCTCTAGAATCATGTCCTCATCTCTACTGAAGTCTGCCTTACAAGATCCACAGGATAAACTTAGCTTGGATGATAAAGTTGAAGCTTCAGACCCAAAATGACTCTGGTATGCTTTAGCTGTTCCAGTTTCTTTTAATACCCAATGAGGGAGCTGATAAGTGGAACAGCCTTTTCCTACTCTTATCAGGCCGAATTTTATTGTCAAGATAGCATTTTATCCTGTTTCTTACATTCACTCCAAATGAAAAACTTCTAGAAAGACATCAACCATCTAAGCGTAAGAAACGCCATCTAAATACAATGGAAAACATCTAAATTTGGATGAAAAACATCCAAAGTGGCAACCCTTGGAAGTAGAGGCGGCAGACATAATACTGGGCGAAGGGACATCACCCACCAATGACTGCTCGGTTTATAAAATATAGGTCTAGCCCTATATACCCAATACACATAAAGGTGTGGAAGTGAGTCCTTTACTTTTTTTTACTCCTATAAAGTTACCCCACACAGTTTAATCTCTTTAAAATTGTTATAGAATCTACCGCTTACAAAATAAACCCATAGAATTTAACTTTTATAAGCAAAGTTTCCATACAGAATTTAACTCCTTGAGGGTTGTTCTTTAAAATGTAACACTTGTCGTACGTCCTTCTTAGGACGTTGTTTTTTGTTATTTGAAGCCCCACTCTGGCTTTTGCCAGGGGCCGCAATATAGGCAGGTCATCATTATGGCCAAATGTCTGAACGCGGTTTCTGGGACCTCTCCACGGTGATCCTCATCCGCATGGTGGCACTTTGTGTCATCGGGTGTTTATCGCTTGTGTGATGTCCTGGTGAGGTAAAAAGCCAATCCAATGTAACACTTTCGAATCCAACTTCCATCCTCATGGGGGACAAATGTTTTGTTATTTTGAAGCTCCACCATGATTTTTACAGGGGGCCCTAATATAACTTAACCGTTGAACAGGGTTTCTGGAACCTCTCCACTGGTGATCCTCATCCAAACAAATATTGGCACTTTGTGTCACCGGGTGTTTATTGCTCAGTGTGATATCCTAGTAGGGTTAAAGTCAGTCAGTCAGTCTGTAACACTCTTTGGGTAGCAATGAATGCATCTTGCATTCGTTTATTATGAATTTAACCAGAGTTGCTCCACAGAATTTAACTGTTACAAAGTTATCTTCCAAGAAGTTACCTCATGTAATTTAACTCTTACATATTATTTCACCCAACATAGCATTGTACAGATGATTACACTGGATATATATTGAAGATGTGAAACTGTCTTGGCCAACAGGTGATGTATTGCGATGGGAGCAGCAAATCCGTCTGCGTCACATGCTGACAAGACAGTACTTGTGTATAGACTCCAAGATGGAGGTATCACTGACGCCTGACTCATCTGACCCCCGAACTGTGTTTAGGTTACATTCTGTACTGAAGGTGAGGTCATTTTGAAATATCGTTTATTTTTCTTAGTAACATTTTTGCCAATCTGGCACTGTTTGAAATATACTTATGTCAGTAATGAGATAAGGGACTGGCGTGGCCAGATAAGAAATCATGATGGAGCTGACACAGTTGGGAGAATCTGTTAGATCAGGCTGTTCAACTACGCTTACTCAGGAACCAACATTTTTTAACCGGGGGATCGTCACCTGCCAGAGGCCTGGGCCTCAGCACAGAAAGATTATTAGTGATGTACAAATGGAAATGATCAGCAGGTCACTTGCTAGGCTTCCAAGGGCCAAATCTGGCTTGCAGGCCACCAGTTGAATAGTCCTGAAGCTAGGTGCTCACTGGAGTAAAACTGAGTATGATATCTGATATGAGAATAGGGGTAGAGGCAGTCACTGCTGCTTTTATATGGCTCCGAGATGGTCCAGTCAATAAGGCAGTCATCATACTTGACTCTGTCACTGCTCTGGGAGGTTAACTCCACAAGTTACCTGATCTGAGATGATAATGATGATTATTGTTGGCACTTTTCTCATCTTTTTCTTTGTGCATCTCTTCACTATTCTATAGACAGTTTTTTGCAATACCAACCATTAAAGCAAATGTGTCGCTGTGTAATTGTTCCATTCCTGTTGCAGTAAAAAACCATGCAGAATGCCTGTCACTGTCTGTTTTGAAAAAATGTAAGTCTGCAGTCTTGGCAAAATCAATAGCATGCACAGGCATTAAATGCATAAGGCTATAATACCTAATAATATAGAGACAATAAAACTCTGCAACGTGCATGGTGGGCCTGTGCTTCACTGGGGGCTAGAAAGACACAAGAAGAAGAATGTGCATTGTAAAATAGAAAATTATGTCCTGCATTTTCTACTATTACTCATGTGTTGTTGTGTTTTTTTTTTTTTTTAGTAAGGTTTTGCGTAGAGATTCTGTGGTCCTATTGTCGGGAAAAAAATAAACTCACTGCTTCCCCAACAAGCATATTGTAAGCGTTGACTAATTAGGGGGCTTCCTCCGAAGTCAGGATATCTGTCCGAGAGGCAAGAAACAACTAGCTCCACACAAATGGGTTACTAAAATGAAAGTACCTACAAAACTCAGGTCCTGGCATGAAGCCAAAGTCAGCTAGTACTTTCCTCCAGAGCTTACAGCCGGTGAACAAAGAAGACAAAGATTAGCAACATTATTTATTACATTATTATTAGTAATTTTAATTTGTTTGTCTCACAAGGAAAGAGATGAAATTCAAGTGGAGAGCTACGCAAGAATCGAACACATGTTGACCAGTTGTTGGCTGCATGCTCTCAAAGGTACAAAACTGGCTATTTACAGAATTCTTTTTTGGGGAATATCAGTTATTAAGCTGTGTTTGTAGTTGTTCCCCCCCCCCCTTCCCCCCCCCCCTTCCCCCCCCCCTCCCCCCTGTACGTCAGGAAGTCCCATTGTGTGGGGAAAATGAACAGAAACATTGCCCCCTACCCCAGTAAGACTGTTGTAACAGGTGACAAATTATGTTTCCTTTGAAGTCAGAGTGCATCCACCTGAGAGGCAGGGAACCAACAGTCTGCATACAAATAAACTAGATCTGTGAAACAAATGTTATTTCAAAACTTACGTCCAGATCAAGACCAAAGTCTAGAAGTGGATGAACAACCATAACTTTCCACAGAGCTTACAACTAAAAAACACTAAGTTTATGGTTTATCTCCTCCAGGATTGCAACCCGCATGATTAACACCTTAAGGATGAGAATCCTAAACGTACAAATCCCGATAACCACTGTTCAACCATACGGTTATATTCGGGGGCCCCCAAGGGTTATAAAGTAAACTGAAGGAGGGACTGGGCAATTATAATTATTTATTATCAAGTAAAAAATATGTGAGTTAACAAGGAAAGAATAACTGTTTTGGCCTTAAATCTTCTGTGTGGGTTCCAGGGAGCAGAAGAGGTGAAACGCACTGCTCCTAAACAAGAATGTCTTACAAGACAAATAATTAAAGGTTTGCTAAAACCGGATGTTTTGGTCTGAAAAGGCATGGATAGTGCAGCCAAGCTGTAAACCGTAACACAATGTTGCTCACCAGCATTTAAAGGGCAAACACACAAGAAAAAGAAGAAGAAGCAAAAGAAGAAGAAAAGAAAGAGGAAGAAGAAGAAGCAGAAGAAAAAGAAGAAGAAGAAGAATATGAAGAAGAAGAAGAAGAAAAAGAAGAAGAAGAAGAAGAAAAAGAAGAAGAAGAAGAAAAAGAAGAAAAAGAAGAAGAAGAAGAAGAAAAAGAAGAAGAAGAAGAGAAGAAGAAGAGAAAGAAGAATATGAAGAAGAGAAGAAGAAGAAAAAGAAGAATATGAAGAAGAGAAGAAGAAGAAAAAGAAGACGAAGCTGAACAAGAAAATAAAGAACAAGAAGAACACGAAGAACAAAGAAAAAGAACAAGGAGGGGAAAGCAAAGGAGAAAGAGGAAGTGGAAGAGGAGGAGGGAGAAGAATACGTTAAGACATACCGGGTGTGTTGTGCTAGCTCCAACTGTTTTTACATAATAGGCTACTCTGTTATCACTTTTTTTTTTCCTTCTAAAATTACTAAGAATATTAATCTACACTGTTTAACCTTTAAATTTTCTGGATCATGTTAACCCATTCAACCTGTTAGAATCCTTAAAAAAAAAAGGATTTTCTGTTTTCATTTATAAACATATTCTTATAATTCTCAGCAACTTTACTCTAAGATCTTGGGGGGGGGGGGGGGGGGGGTCAATAGAAGAAAAATCAGAAGCTATTTGGAGTAATAGGCAGTTTTGATATATATTCTGGAAATTGAACCCCTAGTCCACTGAGCATACAGGCAGATGTGAAGTCCTCTGATTCTTTGATGATGTTTCGTCACTGAAACAAATTTACAAAAACTTATCTGCAGCCATTAAACATATACAATTGGAAAAGGTTTATTTATACCATATCATATCATTGACATCATGACATATCACCTCAGTTGACCATGTCATATCACATGATGGCACCTTGTCATGCCATGTCAGTGCATCATGAAATGCTACCTCACACATCATGACACTGGGTCATGTCATATCATCTGAGTGCACCATACCGCCTCACACATCATGACACTGAGTCATGTCATATCATCTGCGTGCACCATACCACCTCACACATCATGACATATCACCTCACTGGGCCATGTCATATCATCTGCATGCACCATACCACCTCACACATCATGACATATTACCTCACTGGGTCATGTCATATCATCTGAGTGCACCATACCACCTCACACATCATGACATATTACCTCACTGGGTCCTGTCATATCATCTGAGTGCACCTTACCACCTCACACATCATGACATATAACCTCACTGGGTCATGTCATATCATCTGCATGCACCATACCACCTCACACATCATGACATATTACCTCACTGGGTCATGTCATATCATCTGAGTGCACCTTACCACCTCACACATCATGACATATCACCTCACTGGGTCATGTCATATCACACCAAGAACAACGCAGTGCACTACTCCAACTTCTGGTATTCTCACAGACGAGGACTATGAGAAGAGACAGTACCAAGAGTACGACACAGAGAGAACCATGCAGGGTCTCCGCTGGGACGGGGCTCCATTACGAAAGGTGATTCCATCATTTGTCTTTATCCAACTGTAATGATAATAACATGTATACATAATTAATGTTCACGCCAGTATCAATCAATTATGATAATGCATGTTTACACATCGGCTGGTGTTCAAAGGTAAGGTAATCGGAAATGCAGCATAAAAATGTCACCAAAAGGAATATTTCACTGCTTTGGCAATAATGGTCCTGAAACCCAAAGTCTGAGGCAAGACATGTCTTCCACTAATCCGTTCAGCTTGGTTTACATTGGAATTTTCTCTAGGTCATGCCGTTGTGCTGGGAAATGAGCAGGCAGATAGACTGGCTGGTTCTGCAGCGCTTGGTGGTGATGTTGTGTAGACCTTTTGGGAGTTAGGAGCAAGTAAACACTGCAGAGGTACAAACAGATCATTACTGTCTGAAGAGAATGTCGCTGCGAGGAGTTAGCAGGGGATCTGGCCAATGCTTACCTCTTAAGGGAATGGAGAGATTGATGTACAGTCAGATAATTACTGATACCATCAGAATTGGAACTCTTCACTTGCTGCTAAAGATGGAAATGAAGCACTTATGGGAGTGTCCTGTGTGCTGTGATGTCGATTCTTAATTCAACATTTAACATTGGAATTCCAACCAGCCAAACCTGGGATCACTCTACTCCATGTAGAGATCATGTCTGAAGCACATATTCTGTGTTCTGTGGTGCAGGTCCACACAGGCAACATTCTGAATCCCCAGTCTTGAATTTCTTGTACATGTGGCTGCAAAGTCTGTTGTGTTCTGTATGCAGTGTAAATTGGATGGTCTGCTTTGTGTGTGTGTGTGTGTGTGAAGATTGTCTCCAGGATTGGAAGTGTTCTTGTAGGTTCTAATAGCTGCCTTGATGTGAGCTTCATTTCCACCATAAATGCAGCCTTTATCTGGCCATTCTGTATGACTTCCAATATTTGCTAGCTAGTCTGCTCTTTGATTTTCCCTAATGTTACAGTTGCCTGGTTGTCTGCTTGTTTAGCTGACTCATTTGATTTAGCATAGATCTAAACTTGCTGAATTGTAAATTGGTTAGTTAGCTAGTTGGATGGGATGTAGTCATTGCACTCCGGACAGGTCCATATGTGCTCAGATTCTTCCCTCAATATGAACCACAGTGTCCTGTGACTAATAGTGTCAGTTCTGTTTTGACTGATAAGTCTTTGTGTATGCTCGGTGTGTCTCTCACGTTGTAAATTGGTGTGAAAATGAATCCTTCACTGACAATCACTAACACCATGTGAGTGTCTCAGTGATTCAGTATGTACTAGCAGAAAGAGATGTGACAGAGGGTGGAGAAGATGTACAAACTGGCCACTGAGACTATCAGCATGCATGGGAATGCCCAATGTGTAGTGACGTTGATTATAATAACATAACTGTTACATGTTTCAGATCTCAGCCAGCATGGAGAGTATGTATGATGATGCCTACACCATACAAATTGTTGCAGATCAGGATGTTCTCAACTTCAACTTTGTTGCTGGCATTATTCCATTTCTCTTCAACCTCATTCAAGATGTAAGTGTTTGTACTTTTACCAGCTGGGATACTTTTTTTTTTTTTTAATTCTGTCGTCGTCACCATTGTCCTGTGGTGCCTTTGTGTGTCACATAGGACCTGCAGTCTTTTTTCTCTATTCTGTTGTATCTTTTGCAATCCATTTTATATCAGGGATGGAATCTTTCCTCTTCTTGTTTGCGTTTAGTTTCAAATGCCCAGATCAGACCATCAGGTGGGTTGCCTCTGTGAACTCCCATGTCAGTAGCAGGTCCTTCATGGTTTTCTATAGCTTGCTCTGCACACTTTGCTCCTGAGGCCAGGTGTCTTTTCAAAGTTTTAGAGTGGGCAGGTCTGCCGAATGTGCTCAGAAAGGATGAAACCCAGTTCAGCACCTTTGGCCTCTGTCATCAACACTCATTTTAGGGTTTCTGTTAGACATCCTTTCTTCCAAATGCTTTTATTTCCCATTTTAGTGCCTGTTTGGCAATTTTTTTTTGCTAATTTTTCTTTCTCAGGATATGTCCAACATAGAGCCATCTTCATTTTCTTATAGCTCTAGTTACCAGTGGCTGTCCAGAAATTTATCTTATTTCGTCAACCCCTCTTGTATTCATCCCATTTTATGTTCAGCATTTTCCTCAGCCATTTGTTTTCAAATGCATTCAATTTCATTTGATGTCTTTAGTAGTTCTCCAACCTTTTATAATTTTTTAAAAATATAATTAATCTGAATTCAAATTATAGTAAAAGCGATGGCAAAACCTAACAAACGAAAGCAGATATTGTGATAACACGCATGTCTCCTCAGGTAGCCTCTGCAAAGTGATTTAAGCAGCATTCCTTAATTGTTGAAGAAGAAAATCTGGGCTTTCAAACTTGTGTGATAGAAACAGCATAAAATAGGATCTCAAACCTTCCCCCCCCCCCCCCCCCCTTTCTTCCCCCTTTCCTCCCAAAAAAAATGTTGAATGTTGAACTAAGAGTCGACATCACAGCTCTCAGGACACTTCCATAAGTGCTCATCCCCATCTTCAGCAGCAAATGAAGAGTTCTAATTCCGATGGTACCAGTAAACATCTGATTGTATATCCATCTCATCCTACCACTGAGTGTTGAGCGTCGGACAGATTCCCTGGTAATTCCTCGCAGCGAGAAAAAAATTAATAAATAAACTACAGCTAAGGTAAATGCAGTTTGTGTCATCAGGTATTTCTGTCAAAGTACTGAGTCCTGTACCAGGTACCAGTTTTGTCTGGAAAGATAAAGCACTTATTGCTTCCAGCTTAAAATGTATGGTGTCTTAACACTTTACACACTAAAATATATGATGTTATAATGCTTTACACCTAAAATATAATTGTGTTTTAATGCTTTCCACTGAAGATAGATGGTGTTTCAATGCTTTCCACTTGAAATATATGGTGTTTCAATGCTTTCCACTGAAGATAGATGGTGTTTTAATGCTTTCCACTTGAAATATATGGTGTTTCAATGCTTTCCACTGAAAATATATGGTGTTTCAATGCTTTCCACTGAAAATATATGGTGTTTCAATGCTTTCCACTGAAAATTGATTGTGTTATACCTTTGGCTTCCATTCAAGGGATATATTTTAAAAGCTAATGCTCTTATACACTAGTCAGACAATCGCTTTAGATGAGATGAACTGAGAATGTTGCCAAATGTCTATGCATTGATTACCAGAAGTCCTTTATAGAAATATTGGATAAGAATATAATTTTGTTTTTTACAAAACCATAACTTGTGGAGGGGAGCCGCTGTGGGCTACATGCTCATCTGTGGATTGGAAGGTCCTGGGTTCAGGTCCTGTCAGGGGCTGGAGTTTTTTTTCAAAAATGACCTTGGCTCCCAGCTCAACCCAGCCTTGAGTGGGTACTAGGCACAGTCCTGGGAAGTAAAGGTGGCCGGCGTGATGCTGACTACATCAGCCACCAAGTGCCGTTTGGTCTATAAAATATAGGTCTAGCCCTATATGCCCAATACGCCTGAAGGTGTGGGAAAGTGTCCTTTACCTCTTTAACTTGTGGAGTCTCACATACTGGAGCCACTCTTTAACTTGTGGAGTCTCACATACTGGAGCCACTCTTTAACTTGTGGAGTCTCACATACTGGAGCCACTCTTTAACTTGTGGAGTCTCACATACTGGAGCCACTCTTTAACTTGTGGAGTCTCACATACTGGAGCCACTCTTTAACTTGTGGAGTCTCACATACTGGAGTCACTCTTTAACTTGTGGAGTCTCACATACTGGAGCCACTCTTTAACTTGTGGAGTCTCACATACTGGAGTCACTCTTTAACTTGTGGAGTCTCACATACTGGAGCCCACTCTTTAACTTGTGGAGTCTCACATACTGGAGTCACTCTTTAACTTGTGGAGTCTCACATACTGGAGTCACTCTTTAACTTGTGGAGTCTCACATACTGGAGCCACTCTTTAACTTGTGGAGTCTCACATACTGGAGTCACTCTTTAACTTGTGGAGTCTCACATACTGGAGTCACTCTTTAACTTGTGGAGTCTCACATACTGGAGTCACTCTTTAACTTGTGGAGTCTCACATACTGGAGTCACTCTTTAACTTGTGGAGTCTCACATACTGGAGTCACTCTTTAACTTGTGGAGTCTCACATACTGGAGTCACTCTTTAACTTGTGGAGTCTCACATACTGGAGCCACTCTTTAACTTGTGGAGTCTCACATACTGGAGCCACTCTTTAACTTGTGGAGTCTCACATACTGGAGTCACTCTTTAACTTGTGGAGTCTCACATACTGGAGTCACTCTTTAACTTGTGGAGTCTCACATACTGGAGTCACTCTTTAACTTGTGGAGTCTCACATACTGGAGTCACTCTTTAACTTGTGGAGTCTCACATACTGGAGCCACTCTTTAACTTGTGGAGTCTCACATACTGGAGCCACTCTTTAACTTGTGGAGTCTCACATACTGGAGCCACTCTTTAACTTGTGGAGTCTCACATACTGGAGTCAAGAAAAGTGTCTTCATTGTAGCAGGTTTGATCCTATATTGCTCGGTCTCCACTGCAGAACAACTAACTGCCTGGTGAAAGCAAAGCACAAAGAGTGAACGATCGGTGACGATGATGTGCAGGAATCTCCATAAAAATTGCACTTGTGAACGCAACGACACAGTTCTTGAAGTAAACCCATGACCTACATAATTCAAGGCAGAAAACGTAACCATTTCACCATAAAGACACATTGTGCCAATTTTTAAGCAGCTTCATGCTGTTTATCAGACAACAAAAGTCAGATTTTCTTTGATTAGATTGATACAGCACTAAAGAAGATATATTGACATGAAATTATAAACCAAAAATATGACCTATTTGTCTGCAGCAAAGAAGTGCCAATTTTTAAGCAGCTTCATGCTGTTTATCAGACAACAAAAGTCAGATTTTCTTTGATTAGATTGATACAGCACTAAAGAAGATATATTGACATGAAATTATAAACCAAAAATATGACCTATTTGTCTGCAGCAAAGAAGTGATACACCACTAACAACAAGAAAAACACATGCAGTAGTCACAGTAAGTTGTTTCTTGCCATGATATTTACTGACAAAGATATGTATTTTGTACTTACAAATTTAAAATATGTAATTCTGATGTGACCTATATGTTAGAATTATAAACTGTAGTTTATGGAAGATCGAAACAAAGGGAAATAATGAATGAATCATGACATCACTGCTCTTGGGATGTTCCTATTTGTGCTCCACCCCCTTTTTCAGCAGCCAATAAAGAGTTGACCAGCTATAGTACAAGGTGTAACATAATTAACTGTCCACCACTGTTTCCCCATCATTGTTTCTTATGTTCTAGAACCTCTACGCCATGTGTCTACACTTGACAGTCAGTGAGGATATGGATGCAACATCATCTAGTTGTAATAGACAACAATTACCCTATTGGTGATAGGCATTTGTATTCCTCCTCCCGTTCTATGTTCACTTTAAATGTTGAATCAAGAATCGACATCACAGCACTCGCGACACTCCCATAAGTACTCAGTCCCCATCTTCAGCAGTAAGCGAAGAGTTTAAATTCTGATGGTACCAGTAACTACCTGATTGTATATCCATCTCATCCTTCCCCTGAGTGTCGAGCGTTGGCCAGATTCCCTGGTGACTCCTCGCAGCCCCATTCTACTAAGACCGTAATTATCTATCTGTGCTTCTCTATGTTTACTTTTAAAACAGTAAGCACATTTTGTTTACTCCCAAAAAGAACCCAAGAATTCAAACACATAGCATTCACATAAGATACAGGAGAGACATCAATGATAAATGTTACATATTTAATACAATTTTTATATGTTACATTAAGTAAACAATGAATGCTGTATCTCTGGCAGACATTACATGAGATCAGAGAGTTCATTATGCCTAACGGGGCTCCAGACAAGAACAGACAAAAACTGTTGAGGAACCTTCGAGTAAGTCTTAGTCAATATCAAATTATCATTATTATCATCATCCTCCCCCTTCTCCTCCTCTGTCTTCTTCTTCTTTCCTCTTCTTCTTCTTCTTCTTTCCTCTTCTTTCCTCTTCTTCTTCTTCTTCTTTCCTCTTCTTCTTCTTTCTTCTTCTTCTTCTTCTTCTTCTTCTTCTTCTTCTTCTTCTTCTTCTTCTTCTTTCCTCTTCTTCTTCTTTCTTCTTCTTCTTCTTCTTCTTCTTCTTCTTCTTCTTCTTCTTCTTCTTCTTCTTCTTCTTCTTCTTCTTCTTCTTCTTCTTCTTCTTCTTCTTCTTCTTCTTTGCATTCACCAGTTGTAAACTCTGGTGGAAAGTTCTGGTTGCTGTAGTTAGTTAGTTAGTCGACAGTTTATCCTCATTGTACGTCAAACCACTCAGTCCATAAGTGCTCGGATCCCCTCCTCAGTAAATCCCGCAGTGTGTAGCGGCTAACGACACCAGTTTTGTGTTGGTTTATTCTTCTTCTTTGATTACCCCCGTAGTGTTCTTGTTTGGCGACACCCCATTTAACATGTTGTTCTTGCAGTCTGGCCATGATTGCAGATTCACAGTTCTCAGTTGGTTCACGCAAACATCTCAACTCTCTTAGAGCATTCAGTATATCAGCCTGGTCCATGGCTTGTCCGGTTTCCACAGTAGCCTAATCTTACCTGCTTAGGCGATGTACTTCTGGACAAGAATCCATGTTAAGGTGATAAATAAATGTCCTCATCTGAACATTTCAAGGCATCTGCTCAACACCCCTGTCCTACTTACCCTAAAATGAGAAATATAGGCATTAAATACATATTCATTTATTCATCCATAAATTTGTTTCCTGCCATAGACGATAAGATAAAAAAAATTTTTTATATAGTAATGACTGCACAACCTAAAAAAAAAAGAAATTGGAAATTGATTATGTGTTACAGTTTGAAGGATTCATTTACTTACTACATTGTAATCAACTGTTACTGCAGTATGTTAGATGGTTGTTAAAATTGTGCTTCATTTATAAAGGATTCACTTATTTGCTTCATTTATGTAATTGTTACTGCAGTATGCACACGTTGAGGCATAGCAAAATATGCCAGGCAATAAATTGTGCAATCTGTTGTTTGTGTCTTCTTTGCTCTCATTCATAGATGAATTCCCATATTTTTGATAATGTAAATAAATGTCTTTGTTGATCTCCGCACCAGGTGATTGACCTGCTTGTGAAGCTGCTGCAGTGTCCACTGAGAGAAGGAGATGAGCAGCTGCACATGATTCACATATTCAAGGAAGCTTACGATGTCCTGCACGCGTACATGCTGGGCAAAAGTCGCAAAAATGCACTCTACATCGCAAAATACATAGACTTCTTCCAGACACAGTTTACTCAGAAGGTAAAATCTAGTCTGTGTACACAGTTTACTCAGAAAGGTAAAATCTAGTCTGTGTACACAATTTACTCAGAAGGTAAAATCTAGTCTATATACACAGTTTACTCAGAAAGTAAAATCTAGTCTGTGTACACAGTTTAATCAGAAGGTAAAATCTAGCCTATTTACACAGTTTACTCAGAAAGTAAAATCTGTTCTATGTACACAGTTTACTTAGAAGGTATCATCTGGTCTATGTACACAGTTTACTAGAAGTTAAAATCTAGTCTATATACACAATTTACTTAGAAGGTGAAATCTGGTCTATGTACACAGTTTACTCAGAAGGTATCATCTGGTCTATGTACACAGTTTACTAGAAGGTAAAATCTAGTCTATGTACACAGTTTACTTAGAAGGTGAAATCTGGTCTATGTACACAGTTTACTCAGAAGGTAAAATCTAGTCTATATACACAGTTTACTTAGAAGGTGAAATCTGGTCTATGTACACAGTTTACTCAGAAAGTAAAATCTAGTCTATATACACAGTTTACTCAGAGGGTAAAATCCAGTCTATATACACAGTTTACTTAGAAGGTAAAATCTAGTCTATATACACAGTTTACTCAGAGGGTAAAATCTAGTCTATATACACAGTTTACTCAGAAGGTAAAATCTAGTCTATATACACAGTTTACTCAGAAAGTAAAATCTAGTCTGTGTACTCAGTTTACTCAGAAGGTAAAATGTAGCCTATGTACACAGTTTACTCAGAAGGTAAAATCTGTTCTATGTACACAGTTTACTTAGAAGGTATAATCTGGTCTATGTACACAGTTTACTAGAAGGTAAAATCTAGTCTATAAACACAGTTTACTTAGAATGTAAAATCTGGTCTATGTACACAGTTTACTCAGAAGGTAAAATCTAGTCTATATACACAGTTTACTCAGAGGGTAAAATCCAGTCTATATACACAGTTTACTCAGAAGGTAAAATCTAGTCTATATACACAGTTTACTCAAAAAGTAAAATCTAGTCTATACACACAGTTTACTCAGAGGGTAAAATCTAGTCTATATACACAGTTTGCTCAGAAGGTAAAATCTAGTCTATACACACAGTTTACTCAGAAGGAAAAATCTAGTCTATACACACAGTTTACTCAGAAGGAAAAATCTAGTCTATACACACAGTTTACTCAGAAGGAAAAATCTAGTCTATATACACAGTTTGCTCAGAAGGTAAAATCTAGTCTATGTACACAGTTTACTCAGAGGGAAAAATCTAGTCTATATACACAGTTTGCTCAGAAGGTAAAATCTAGTCTATGTACACAGTTTACTCAGAAGGTAAAATCTAGTCTATATACACAGTTTACTCAGAAGGTAAAATCTAGTCTATATACACAGTTTACTCAGAAGGTAAAATCTAGTCTATGTGCACAGTTTGCTCAGAGGGAAAAATCTAGTCTATGTGCACAGTTTGCTCAGAGGGAAAAATCTAGTCTATGTGCACAGTTTGCTCAGAGGGAAAAATCTAGTCTATGTGCACAGTTTACTCAGAGGGAAAAATCTAGTCTATGTGCACAGTTTGTTCAGAGGGAAAAATCTAGTCTATGTGCACAGTTTACTCAGAGGGAAAAATCTAGTCTATGTGCACATTTTGCTCAGAGGGAAAAATCTAGTCTATGTGCACACTTTACTCAGAGGGAAAAATCTAGTCTATGTGCACAGTTTACTCAGAGGGAAAAATCTAGTCTATGTGCACAGTTTACTCAGAGGGTAAAATCTAGTCTATGTGCACAGTTTACTCAGAGGGTAAAATCTAGTCTATGTGCACAGTTTATTCAGAGGGTAAAATCTAGTCTATGTGCACAGTTTACTCAGAGGGTAAAATCTAGTCTATACACACAGTTTACTCAGAGGGTAAAATCTAGTCTATATACACAGTTTGCTCAGAAGGTAAAATCTAGTCTATGTGCACAGTTTACTCAGAGGGTAAAATCTAGTCTATATACACAGTTTACTCAGAGGGTAAAATCTAGTCTATACACACAGTTTACTCAGAGGGAAAAATCTAGTCTATGTGCACAGTTTACTCAGAGGGTAAAATCTAGTCTATACACACAGTTTACTCAGAGGGAAAAATCTAGTCTATGTGCACACAGTTTACTCAGAGGGAAAAATCTAGTCTATGTGCACACAGTTTACTCAGAGGGTAAAATCTAGTCTATACACACAGTTTACTCAGAGGGAAAAATCTAGTCTATGTGCACACAGTTTACTCAGAGGGAAAAATCTAGTCTATGTGCACACAGTTTACTCAGAGGGTAAAATCTAGTCTATACACACAGTTTACTCAGAGGGAAAAATCTAGTCTATGTGCACAGTTTACTCAGAGGGTAAAATCTATTCTATGTGCACAGTTTACTCAGAAGGTAAAATCTAGTCTATGTGCACAGTTTACTCAGAAGGTAAAATCTAGTCTATGTGCACACAAATTAATTTGTGATGTCTATTGTTGTTATTGAGTAGTGGCTGGTCAAGCAGTACAAATGTCAGGCCGTCATGTGGGAGAGCCAGGTTCGACCCCCTGTAAGTTGATGGACATTTTTCTGTAGGGGTAACAAAACATCCTAACCTTCAGTCTATGGGAGCTGCACTAACCTTGTAGCCCTAAATCCTTGGGATCATGACCTCTCTTTCTACACTGCGTTAAAAAGTGGTAAATACAGGTTTTTGTTATTACTAAAATGCTTCAGAGTTGTCTACTCTTGTCATCTACTTTGAAAGTAATTTGCTAATGTTATCAATTTTGTTGTTGTTGTTTTCAAAGTACTGCCAATATGTTTACCAATGTTTGCCAGTGAGGAGGTTATGCAGTCAATACTATATATATATATATATGAGGAGGGGCTGGCTGGCTGGCTGGCTGGCTGGCTGGCTGTTTTGCTCTACATATTTTGGCTGACTAGTGACCTATTTAGTCTGCTCCCCCCCCCCCTCCCTAAAAGTATCTGCTTTCCATGTTCTCATTTTTGCTTTTTATCACAGTTAACTGATTTTGAATGTTTACACTCTGTGCATACTTTTAGGGAGGAATAGGCCTCAATGTGGCACAGATGATAGTGGAGCTTGTCAGGGACAAGAGGAAGATTGTGGATCGAATCACCCAACATCACATCGAGACATTCATACAACTGCTCAGAAGCAATCCGGTAAGTTCGGATTCATAACTGCTTGTAGGCTGCTTTTAATTTCTTTACATTTTCTTATTTAACTGTTTGAGTCCCAAGGAACGCATCATACATTCATAGGTTACTAGCTAGAAGCCCAATGAATGCAAGATGCGCTGATTTTACGTCTCTTTTGACTACCCTTTAGGTCTTTAGCTAAACTCCCTGGGACTCAGAGTTAAAAGCTCTATACATCCCAGTCGGCGTCTGTGGCTTAAACATTGCAAACACACTTTGTAATTCCAGAGTGCCGGGTTAGATCCCAGTAGCAGGCGAATTGGTAGCAGAACCTCTTGTGTTAGTTTTGACAGTGGTACCAAGAGCTGACCATTCAGAAAGCAATAGCAAACTACTGGACATCAAATCTGCCTAGAAAAACCACAACAGCCAAAAAGTGTGTGGGTTGGTTCTGCAACGTCCTGTAAAGGATACGCAACTAACTTTTTTTTTAAATTTATCACAGTTATAATGAAGAAGGGCTGAAAAGGATATTCCTAATTAAATCACTATTACTTCTAGTTTTTTATTTCACTTTCTTAAATGTTTCATTCTGAAATCATCATCATCATAGTCCTATAACACAACATGTCTTTGGGTCAACAGCATCTGTTTACTGTGATAAGTTCCCTCCAGTTCTGTTGGTCAGATGTAATGGAGGTCATGGTTGCATATTTGAGGCCTATCCATTCAGCCATATTCTGTATCCAAATCTTTTTTGGTCTGCCTCATTTCCTCTAGTGAACTCTCTAGCATCAATTTGAAGAGATCCGTAGATCTTGTTATATTTTTTTTTCATTGTATTTTCCATCTTTTCACTGTATCAAAACAGGCCAACAATTGCCAGTGTATTTACTGATGAGCAAAAACTGAAACTGCCACAAAAATCAGCCAATTATCACATGTATTTGCCACTTTTGCAGTGTGGACAGAAAGGGGGAAAAGGGGGGGGGGAGGGGAGTTGAAGCTGTGAATTTAGGGTTGAGTGGCTAGTGCTGTCACCATGGACTGGGATGGTGAGGATTTTATATTTTCTTCCGACAGAAAAACGTAGACTTTACCAAGGATTCAAAACTGGTTTCACATCTGGGCCACTTGTTGAAAAGTGATATCTTTAGCACCACACTACAGTGAAGTCATCAAAGTGATATCTTTAGCATCACACTACGGTGAAGTCATCAAAGTGATATCTTTAGCACCACACTACGATGAAGTCATCAAAGTGATATCTTTAGCACCACACTATGGTGAAGTCATCAAAGTGATATCTTTAGCACCATTTTACGGTGAAGTCATCAAAGTGATATCTTTAGCACCACACTACGGTGAAGTCATCAAAGTGATATCTTTAGCACCACACTACGGTGAAGTCATCAAAGTGATATCTTTAGCACCATTCTACGGTGAAGTCATCAAAGTGATATCTTTAGCACCACACTATGGTGGAGTCATCAAAGTGGTATCTTTAGCACCATTCTACGGTGAAGTCATCAAAGTGATATCTTTAGCACCACACTACGATGAAGTCATCAAAGTGATATCTTTAGCACCATTCTACTGTGGAGTCATCAAAGTGATATCTTTAGAACCACACTATGGTGGAGTCATCAAAGTGATATCTTTAGCACCACACTACGGTGAAGTCATCAAAGTGATATCTTTAGCACCATTCTACGGTGAAGTCATCAAAGTGATATCTTTAGCACCATTCTACTGTGGAGTCATCAAAGTGATATCTTTAGCACCATTCTACGGTGAAGTCATCAAAGTGATATCTTTAGCACCACACTACGGTGAAGTCATTAAAGTGATATCTTTAGCACCATTCTACGGTGAAGTCATCAAAGTGATATCTTTAGCACCACACTATGGTGGAGTCATCAAAGTGGTATCTTTAGCACCACACAACGGTGGAGTCATCAAAGTGATATCTTTAGCACCACACTATGGTGAAGTCATCAAAGTGATATCTTTAGCACCACACTACTGTGGAGTCATTAAAGTGATATCTTTAGCACCACACTATGGTGAAGTCATCAAAGTGATATCTTTAGCACCACACTAGGGTGGAGTCATCAAAGTGATATCTTTAGCACCACACTACAGTGGAGTCATCAAAGTGATATCTTTAGCACCACACTACAGTGGAGTCATCAAAGTGATATCTTTATCACCACACTAGGGTGGAGTCATCAAAGTGATATCTTTAGCACCACACTACAGTGGAGTCATCAAAGTGATATCTTTAGCACCACACTACAGTGGAGTCATCAAAGTGATATCTTTAGCACCACGCTACAGTGGAGTCATCAAAGTGATATCTCTAGCACCACACTACAGTGGAGTCATCAAAGTGATATCTTTAGCACCACACTAGGGTGGAGTCATCAAAGTGATATCTTTAGCACCACGCTACGGTGGAGTCATCAAAGGGATATCATTAGCACCACACTACAGGGGAGTCATCAAAGTGATATCGTTAGCACCACACTACGGTGGAGTCATCAAAGTGCTACATCCTTATTTTTGTTTGTGTGTTTAAAAATGATCTCTGAAAAATTGCATAGTTGCATAAAAACAAAAAAATTCTTCATTTTGATCCATTGGAGTAGATATCCACATGGATGCCTTTGGCTTATTGTACACTGTATCAAATAACTGAAAATTCAGTTAAGTGATAATCACAAAAATTATACTTTGACGACTTTGGCATTGATATAAACTGGACACAGTATTTAGTGTATATTTTGTTTTTCAGAACTACCATTTCTTGGATTTATTGCATGTCCTTTGTGTTTGTGATGAAGTGGCCATCCCCAACAATCAAAGCTACATCGTCCAGCAGTGGCTACGGACATACAAGGTGAATAATTGTTTCCTTGTCTTATTTACATTGATTGTTTTATAATATAATTTATGAGGGAGTATTCATTGATTGCACACAGAAATTAGGTTTATCATGGATTTTTACTCAGCTGAACTCAGCATATTATAATGGAAAGTTATTGTTACCACACTGGGAATCGAACCTGTCATCTTCAGATAATGACAACACCTCATTGCAAGTGTAAGTAAGTGTACATCAATGCATGATGAACTTGCTGAAGTACACTTGTTCTTGCAGCAAAGAGTTGTTGCAATTTGGAGGTGGTAGGTTTGATTTCCCAGTATTTTAAGTATAGTCTTTGATTTTTATGTTGTTTAGAGTGTCCTAACCTAACTCTCTACTTCTTTATATGAGTGCCAAGCAATACATTACAAATTATATACACAGACACAGACAAGCACAGACACACACAGACACACACACAGACACACACACACACACACACACGCACGTACGCACACACGCACACATGCATGTACACACACACACACCCCACCACACACACACACACAGACACACACACAGACACACACACCACACCCTCCACCACACACACACACACACACACATATATATATATATATATACACACACACACAATATTTATTGCACTGTTTCATGCTACAAGGGCTCCTACACACACACACACACACACACACAATATTTATTGCACTGTTTCATGCTACAAGGGCTCCTACCTTTTTACTTCAATTTAATCATTCTGTTTTAATTGTTTATATTACCACTGTCAACATTGTGCTGCCAACAGAGTTACAGTCCGGCCTGTTCTGATTGCAATGAAGACAAAACTGTATGGTATACGAGAAGATATGGACTGTACGATAGCTTTCAAAAAGGCTATCAGCCTCTTGATATAAGTTTTCTGACGGAAGGATCAAAAAAAAATAAAAAGATTGTTTATGTAAACTTGTGTCACGCAGGATGAGAAATGATACAGGAGATGATGTTGAATCTGCAACATTCAAAAGACTACAAGAACTTCAGGTCAAAAGAGGTGTCACCAAACATAAACACTATACAGGTAGCCAAAGAAGAATAGTAGACCAACACAGAACTGGTGTTATCAGTCACCACATGCTGAGGGATACACTGAAGATGTGATCTGAGTGGATGGGACTTGTCCTGTGAAAGTAAGGACAATCTTTTGATGCTGACTAACATTAACCAACCAGTAACTGACTGGTAACTAACTAAAACTATGGGACTAACTAACTATGCCCGACTAACTAACTGGGACCGAGTGGTTATAACTTGTCCAATAACTGCAGTGAGGACAACTAACTAATTAACTAACTAACTACATAACTAACTGTCTTTACGCTTGTAACATTTTCAGTTATCATTCAGTTAAATAATATTTGAGAAAGAACTGACTGTTTCTATGATTCTCCCTTCCCACAGGATAGTATTTATCTAATGGAGAGAGGCCAAAATATCAACAAACGACCAAATATCATTTACATCTCCATTGACAGTGGCCATTCGTGGATGGCATTACACAAGTTTGTGGATGTAAGATGGTTGTATTATACTGTCATTTTTAATAATTTGATGATCATATAGGCACATTGTGTGAATGTAAGTAACTGTATTGCCTGTCATATTGTGTGATTTTGTCATTGTGTATACATATCTGTAGTTAAATGCATTCAAAAACAAATGATTGAGGAAATCATGAAAATAAAATGGGATGATTTCAAAAGGGGTAAGGAAATAAGAGAAACATTTGGGCAAAAACTGGTATCAACAGTTAAAAGACAGAGAAGATGGTGCAAATCAGGAAGGGAATGAGAATGAAGGAACAATTATTGCAGAAATAATGATAAGTGAGCATCTGAAAAGAAACGCATTAAATACGTATACAAGTAACAGTTGCGAAATTCCTATGCTCTCATTCTGGAAGACATCTCTTAACATGGATGGATCTTGTTAGTCATAACTCACCATCGCCATGAGCTGTGATTCCCATGCCTCTCCATTGCATAATACAATATAGCTCTTTGTCTGGAAAGGCGGAAATTGGCTATCAAAAATGTATCGCTGGAAGGTAGAACAAACAAATATAATTCATTTGCAAGGGCATCTTTGGAAAATTAAAAACTAGTGTGTTAAGTAGGCATAGAATGAATTATGTTAATTAACTCTTTGAGTCCCAAGGAAGGTATCATATGTTCATAGGTTTCTACCTAGAAGCCCAGTTACGCATGATTCATCGATTTTAGTCTTTCTTTACTACCCCTTGAGCCTGTGATGCTAAACCCTCTGGAACTCAAAGAGTTAAGGTTAGGGTTAGGCTCTTTGTCAGCCCTACCTCCTTGGAGACATAGACTAACCCTATCTCTACACCTAACCTTAACCGCCGACCCATAACATTCTTAGGTTATTGGATTTTTCCAGGAACTCTGGGATTTCCTTTGTTTGGGTGAATTAACAATAAAGTACCAGAGGGAGGGAGACAGAAGAGAGAGAGAGAGGAAAAGAAAGTTGTGACCAGAGAAAAAATAAGAAGAAAGAGATGTGATAGATGGAGACAGAAAGAAACATTGGGACACTCAGGACAGACAGGGAGAAAGAAACAGTTGAATCATGGTGAAATGCCAATGTGTGTATAATAGTTTCATCTTTGACCCAGAGCATGTGAATGTTGTTGATAATAAAAGAACTGATAATTGGCATTCTGCCTAAATTGCAGTTTGCCAGTCTGGTTATCGTGCAGACATTGTTAATGCCCTTAGAGGGATAGGATGACTGGAGGAGACTGGAAACAGCATGTCACTGCTAAGAATGCAAGAATTTGGAGTAAAGATTGGCACAACCAAGCATGAGAGACATACTGGGCATACAATCAGTCTTGATAACCAGTATAGGACTGGCACTTTTAATCGCTGGACACCAATCTATATTGGTAATCTGGTAATCTTAGTTTCAGTTTTATAGCAAATGGGTCACCCCATAGTTGCTCAGCTCCTGTGCCAATGAAAAATTTAGAATGTTCATCACTGTCCCTTTGTGGAAAAACTGACACAGACTGCACTCTCAGCATATCCATTAGTATACAAATTCATTAAACGCATAAGGCAGCTATCAGAAGTGCTAACACAAACAGTCTGACATTAGAAATGCAGTTCATCATTGGCAGAAGCAGCAGTTAAAACAGATCATTTGATGCACAGACGATCAATTTTAATCACATAAGGCACCACCGATTGTGTGGCACCAAGCCAGGTGACATTTTCTGAATCTACAGTTCACAACACCACGTTGGTCACAGTCGAAAAACATTCCAAATGAAATATACAGCTCACTGTATTACGCAATGCACTCACCCCATTATCTGGGCAACAAAACTGTATCTGTTCTGTCTACAAATGGAGGAAAATGGCAATTGACACCGTCTGTCAGAAACAAACAATTTGCCATGACTAAAAACAGTGACTTTGCCTATTGTCCATTTGACTGGAAGTCACACTAATGTATAGGTTGAAGGAAATCTGTGCACCTCTTGAGTGCCATCAAGATAACCCAACTCATAACTCAACTAATAACTAAGACAATTATAAAGAGGCAGAGAAAGGGTTGTTGAGACAGGAAGGAAATGAAACACAGAAAGACCATGATATGTCAATGAAATATTATTTGCTTTTCACAGTATCTAATTAAGCCACATATGTAACACTTTCAACATCTTTGCCTTCCCTGCCTTACAGCCAGAATCAGAAGAGTATGATGCTGAAAGGAACCTCTTCTTGATTCACCAACTGGACCTCATGAAAGCCTTCTGTTTTGTGAGTATCTAACAAGTGTCATTATTTCATGTTTATATGATAGTAAAAAACAGTGGCGACTGCTCAAAAGAAGTCAGAGGAAGACTTGCATTGGCAATGAAGAGTTTAAATAACATGAAAAACCTATGACAAAGCACTGGTAAATTAGTTAAAGTAAAAATCTTGAGATCATGCATTTTTCCTGTGGCAACTTACGGTTGTTAGTCTTGGACTCTCACTCATTTACTGAGAAAAAAGATTTGAATTGAAATGTTATAGAAAAATTTCTTGGAACACCGTGGATCAGGAAGAGGAAAAACTTGACATTCTAAACGAGTTGAACGTCAAGGAGAACTGGTTCATAAACAGCATCCTGTCCTGGAAGTTGAAGTATTTTGGCCACATCAAACGTCATGGTGGCTTGGAAAAGATTGTGATGGAGGGTACAGTTTGTGGAAGGCGAGGCAGGGGTTGACCACCACAAAGATGGATAAAAGACATTGAAGATGCATTAGCACTGAAAGCACATGGGGCTGGAGAGCTGGCTAGGGAAAGGGATACTTTTAGGCGTGCCGTGAAGAGAGTGATGTTCTGTAAAGGACTTGCTGATTGATGTTGATGATAGCTGGAGCACTGATGGCTTTGTGACTTGTCACAGAATCAGTAGGTTGGGTTCTTGTTCTTTTCATGTTTACATGCTGTAAACTCTGATGGACAATTTTGCCTGTTTGTCCAATTCTGTACTTAAGAAATATTCCAAAAATTGAGTTTTGCGTGTACAACCATTTTACAGATCTGGCTAATCTGTATGCATACTGTTGGTTTCTCACCTCTCTGGCAGAGGCACTGCAATTTTGAACCCCCCTCCCCCAGTTAGTCAACTTTCAAGGCATACTAGTTAAGGGGGCAGTCTGTCTTCTCTTTTCTTCAAAATAATTGGACAGGTAACCCACATGAAGTGTAGTCACTGATGAATTTTCGTGTAATCCACAGGGCCGTAATGACTTTGCTATTCACACAATCACCAGAGAGTTTGGTTACATCACCTGGGAAGATGCCTTTTTGTGTATACAATCAGATCTTTTACCAGACTCCATCAGAGCCAAATTTATTGAGCTTGTTATAGGTGAGTGCTTAACTGGCAATAAGGTTGTGAAGTCACCTTGTGTTGCACTTACATTCAAAGAGAAAAGATTTTTAAACAGTGTTACACTTGTGCAAAATTAAACATTCCCAGTTAAACTGATCTCAAACATCCCTAGAAGTTTTGATCTCTGATTCATAATCATTTAAGATATGTCATGTAACAACTGCAAACTTTCAGTGGCAAATGCATCTATTGTCGTCATTTGTCTTGCCAGATGGCAGTCATTTATGTCTTGCCACAGCTCCTGTTCTAGAAAAGTTACACTGAAGGAGTGGCTGGTCAAGTGTTTGAAATCCTGGACAGTGATTCTAAACAAAAACTAAACCAAACAAATGTTACAAGTGAGCAAAATGATCTTCTCTGTCTTCTTCTTATAGTCCCTGCTGTGTGGTGTTGGTAGTCATATCTATCTACAACCTTCTGTTTCATGTACTTTATTTCAGTTCTGAAATGGATGATTCTCCATGGCATGATATGAAATTGTCCAGCATCTTCTCTCTTTGCCTCTTTCCCCCTCCAACTTACATCGTGATGTACTCCAGTTCTCTCCTTCTCATGACATGGCCAAAAAATGTGGATTGTCTCCTTCTGGTGTGGGCAATCAGTTGTCTTCATGAGTTGGTTTCTTTCAAGCCATCTTTATTACTCTTTTTATCTGTCCACAGTTTTCTGTATCATCCAGTCTGGGTGTAGTATATTTACTGGTGTACAGTAAGGACTTGCAAACTGTGGGATTCCAAGGGTATGCAGCAGCATACAATTATCAAATATGGATAACGCTGTTTTAGGCTGCCAAGGAGAGGTGACAAACAACACTTGGGCTTAGGACAGACATATCAGCAGCATAAGTTTGTCAAGAGTAGACAACTCTCAGTTTTGAGCTGCCAGGGGTAGATAACTCAGCAGATTTTGGCTGCAAAAGTGATTTAATTTACTGTTATTGGCCCAACAGCAAACAACTCAACCAAGGTTGGACAGCAAAGCAACTTTAAGACCAGAATTAGGTTCGTATGTTTCCCATGTGGTTTCTGGGGCCATATTTGGGTGGGGGGTGGGGGGGGGTGGGGGTGGGGGGAATAGATCCACCGCTCTTAATAAACAAGTAAAAGTTTACTAATTAAGGATATGCTGAAATTAAATGTGTTCAGCTGAAAGGTGGAGATCTCACAGCCTAGCTGTAAACCACAACACAACATACCAACTTCTTTAAGGGGAAAAACAGAAAAAAAGTTGGTACATGTTTCTGCTGAGAACAGCTACGAGCGATGCTATTCCTCATGTGTTATGTTGCTCGTCCCAGGTTATTTTCTTTAGTGGTAACATTTGTAGGATTATTTTTATTCAAAGTTTACTTTGACATCACCAGGACTTTTTGTGGATGTTGGAAACAATTATTCAGTTCTAGACAACCCAAACATTTGTTTTGTTTATGAGTATGTTGGCTCCAAAGATGCAGAAACAGACCAAAGCCATTATGTGAGTAAACTGTTTTATTTTTATGACCAACTTGCATGTCCTTCCTGTCACATATCTCCTGTTCCTGCACATTGTGTCTGGTTTAGCTTCTTGCACTAACTTATAATTTGCCCCCAGCTTTGCAAGCCTGAGAAACCTGGCCATATCAGAAGTATGTTAATCTTAAAGCTACTGATATTTTAGAATCAGTAGCACAATATTTATTACAGTTAACGAAAATATTGTAGAAACAGTTTAAATGTTTATGCATGAATTGTATTTATGTAAACAAATTATCAATTAAAAAAAAAAATTTATATACTATTAAGCATTATAGGATTTTACAACATACAACAATTGATAAATACTAAGGAAAAGTGTATTTAGGGAATACTGTGATTGCAATGAGCAGGATTATAGCGAGAAGTGATAAATAAAGGATGAATCCTAACTGTTTTAATATTAATGGTACAATAACTTGAGACAGCTGCAGCCCTGAAGGTGGGAGCTATGGTTTTGTCTGTTTGTTATGGGGTCAGTTCTTCATTAACAATTTAGATCAGGGGTTCTAAAACTTGTTGTCTCATGGAATCCTTTTTAAATCACTTTCAATTGCAGAGGCTTCAAGACTTACCATACTCTATATCTTATAAGTTGGTAGGATTTCAAAGTTATGTTACAGAGTTGATTGACTTGAGGGGGGGGGGGGGGGGGTAAATAGTAGGGGAATGTAAAGTAGATAATATTTTAACAGTTATACAAATGCCAGAATGTAATTTAAAGTTTTTTGCTCCTCCTCCTTATTATTTTTATTATTTTTCCCCCTCCTCCTCTTCTTCTTCTTCTTCCTCTTCCTCTTTTTTCTTTCTCTTCTTCTTCTTCTTTCTTCCTCCTCCTTATACTTCTTCTGCATTCATCAGAGGATGTAAATGCATTGTGCCCATTTACAATATGGCCAAAAATATTTGCACCTTTCAGCTGGCTGACACTTTCATCTTCAGCTGGCATTTGTTGCCAGGGTTAGCCTTCTCAGATTTGCAGTTTAATAATTTTACTTTACTTTCTTGTTTCTTAATCTTTTATTTCATTTAGCTGTTATATTATTTTGTATCATGGAGGAGCCATAAAGCACCTGGTTAGAGCCCTTAGGTCTCTGTTAAGCACTATTTGGGAGCCTCTGAAATTTAACTATAAGACATTATACTGTAGTCAGAGTTGCTAGGCTGTTCTGCAGTGCACTGTATTTGCTCAATAGTTTATGTCTGCTTTATGTAAACCTGCCTGTTTGCACCTACCGTGTATGTAAACCTGCCTGTTTGCACCTACCATGTATGTAAACCTGCCTGTTTGCACCTATCTTGTATGTAAACCTGCCTGTTTGCACCTACCGTGTATGTAAACCTGCCTGTTTGCACCTATCTTGTATGTAAACCTGTCTGTTTGCACCTATCTTGTATGTAAACCTGCCTATTTGCAACTACCGTATATGTAAACCTGTATGTTTGAACCTTTCTTGTATGTAAACCTGTCTGTGTTAGCTACCAGGAGTTGTGGTACTTGCTTGATTACTTTTGTCTGTCACTCATAATGAGAGTTTGATGTGAAGAAATAAATCATGTAATCCTAGTGTAACTGAAATGGTCTAGCCACCTAGTCAGAATGAACCCAGCACCACCGGTTGCAAGAACGTACAATATGAGAGTGGAAACCCAAGAAGAAAAGATTATGGATAGATGGAGTTATACACCTTGCTGAAACTCAACAGTATCACCCTGCAGCAAGCTAACACGCGCACACTGTCCTGGAAACCAAACATTAGCCGTGCCTGCAAAGCCTAATGGCATTAAGCAAATAAAGACAATAGACATATAGAATCCTCACATGGGTTCTAGGGTACCATTGAAGGGGTGGGGGTGGAGGGGCAGGTATAGTCTACTTTCAGTCATAAAAAAGCAAATAATTATAGAGGTTTACTGAAATTTGATGTGTTGGGTCAAAAGGTGCAGATATTGCAGCCTAGCTGTAAACAACAACAAAACATGCCAGCTGCTCTTCTAAGGGGAATAAAAAATTACACAAAAGAATTGTCATATCCATATTTATCTAATTTAGTAGATTGTTTACTGCTGGATGTTGTTCTAAAATAATCAAAAATTGATATTACTATATTTGGGAGGACATAATAAAGAGTGACGGCAGGTGAGCTGATATCAAGAGGTAGCTTTACATTAAATTAGCTATGACTTGAAAAGTTCAAATAAAGAAGGAAAAAGATGCATGTAAATATTTCAACCAGTGTCTTTATCAGTAAGCAGAACAACATACAAGGACAAAATTCAATTGTTTTTTCCTAGTTCCAATCAATCAGATAAAGAGTCTGTATCGTCTCGAGACATATTGGTGTAGGGTTGCCATACGTCCTCATTTTTGTGGACACATCCTCATTTCACGAGTAAAACATACAATTTTGGACATTAGTAGATTTTTCCGCAATTTTGCAAGCCAAGGCAAAATGAACACTATGTGGCTATATAGAAAACACTAGGAGAAGTGATCTGCTATGAAATCATGAAGATAGCACCGTTGTTCTTGGCTATTGCTGCACACACTGCTTTAGTGGAAAGACTTTTTTAGTTAAATCCATGCACAATGGCTCAATGAGATAAATCGTTTAGTGTGGGCTCAGTCAAGTCAGTTTCGCTTGTAGAATTTAATTTCAAACATCTCACATGCACACAGTTTTATAGATATCTGATGCAAAATACACATTCTTAAAAGATCAAGTCATCACACAAAAATACATGAAACAATTAAAATAGAGTTTGATATTATGAGGAAATGTCCTCGTTTCAGGAAATAAAAATATGGCAACCCTAGTTTATTATGCTCTTGGTGCATGTTATACAGTTGTGCCTAGATAGAACTGTATCTAGAAAACCCTGTGTATCAGTCTACAACCTGTTGTGTCAGTCTACAATCTGTCTGTGTATCTGTCTACAACCTGTCTGTGTATCAGTCTACAACCTGTCTGTGTTGTGATGCCAGCCTGCAGTGTTTCTCTTCCCTGCTTGTAGCATGCTCCACCCACCAGTAGTCCAGATTTTACCTCTGTGACGGTCTTCCCTGGCGGCAGTAGTGCCCTAGCAATTCCTGATGAGGACAAGCATTGTAGACTGGAAGCTTTTTCCAGCAAATCTTTAAGTGTCAGCCAGGTTGATGGGGAAATCGTCACTCAGAAACAAGAAGTGGTCGGTTCTGATGAGGTATCAACTTCTGCTGTGCGTTAAAATTATTACCTTTTTATTTCTTCTTTTTGTTGTTGTTGTTAGACATTTATGTGGCTTAAGCACATATTATTAATAGCTTAGTATGTTCAGATTAAGCTTTAATAGTGAAAGCTTAATGGTGAAAAGGGGTTTGCTTGTTTGCCTGTCATAAAGTCAGCCTGTTTACATGATAACTTACTTGACTTCTCAGATAATTTACTTGATTTCTGACCTAATAACTCACCTGACATAGATCAGATTACTTTACTTCTCTAGATCTAATAACTTACTTGACATAGGTCAGATTATTTACTTGACTTCTTTAAATCTAATAACTTACTTGACTTCTCAGATAGTTTACTTGACTTCTGTAGATGTAACAACTTGACTTCTGTATATGTAATAACTTACTTGACTTTCTAATTATTTGGCTTCTGTAGATCTGATTACATACTAAACTTCTGCAGATTTGCTTCATACTAAACTTCTGTAGATCTGATTACATACTAAACTTCTGCAGATCTGATTAAATACTAAACTTCTGTAGATCTGATTACATACTAAACTTCTTAAGATTTGCGTACATACTAAACTTATGTAGATCTGACTGCATACTAAATTTCTGTCGATCTGATACACAATTTATTGATCTGTGTAGTTCTTATTACTCCCAAGATTTGTGTAAAAATCCAAGAAGTTCTTGTCATCTGTTCATTCTCTCAACTTGCAGTCTGTAGATCTGATAACTTGTGCTCTGTAGTTTGGTTTGCTTGCTAACAAATTGTACATCTGTCTTACTGCGGCTTATAAAGGGAGCGGACGATCTCAGGAGTTGTGAGGTAGGAGTGTTTTAACTGGGTTAAAAATAACATCTTTAACTCTTAGCGCACAGAAATAAACAGATAAGGAATCCTTGAGGCGGCAGAAACATTATATGTAATAAATAGACAGACATGTATTGCTTGGCACTTATAGAAAGAAGTAGAAAGACAGGAGGAAGAGATACAATAGACAACATAACTATTAGAAATACAAACACACAGTTGTGAAAGGATGTGATTCTATAGTTTGGAAAGATGAGAACTACAAACATACAGTTGTGAAAGGATGTGATTCTATAGTTTGGAAAGATGAGAAATACAAACATACAGTTGGGAAAGGATGTGATTCTATAGTTTGGAAAGGTGAGAAATACAAACACACAGTTGTGAAAGAGGGTGTGATTCTATAGTTTGGAAAGATGAGAAATACAAACACACAGTTGTGAAAGAGGGTGTGATTCTATAGTTTGGAAAGATGAGAAATACAAACACAAAGTTGTGAAAGGATGCGGACTAAAGTCTATGTGAAGAAAGGATACATGTGATATATAAATGTCATTTTCCGAATGGATGTGAAATACAGACTCATGGTGTGAAATGATGTGAAATATACATTATATATATTAGAAAGAGAGTGAAATTAAAATCCCATGGTGTGAAAGAATGTTAAATATAGATCCTGTGGAAAGATGTGAAATCTAAATTTTGTGTCCGTGTTTGGAAGGGTGAGAAATATAGATTCCATGACTCCATTGTTGTGGAAATTAATTCCTGAAGCACACAGCTTTAACTCTTTGAGTCCCAGGGGGTTTAGCATCACAGGCCCAGGGCGTAGAAAAGAAGGTAATAAAATGGTGCATAATGCATTCATTGGGCTTCTAGGTAGGAACCTATGAACCTTGGGACTCAAAGAGTTTTAAAAAAAAAAACTGAAAATGTCAGTGATTTATTGGTTAAATGTCTTGATTGTTTCTTCTTGCCAGGTTGTCATGTCTTGATTGTTTCTTCTTGCCAGGTTGTCAAAGACCTAGTCACCATATTTCCAGTGCTAAGAGACTGGCTGGCAGAGTTTCTTTCTCAGAATTGTATTATGACTGCAAACATGATTGGAAGAAATTTGCTCATCAAACAGGTATGAGTCACTGCATTGACTCTTCTGTAAACATTGTATTATGATTGCAAACATGATGGAAAGAAATTTGCTCATCAAACAGGTATGTGTCACTGCATTGACTCTCCTGTAAACATTGTATCATGATTGCAAACATGATTGGAAGAAATTTGCTCATCAAACAGGTATGTGTCATGGCATAGACTCTCCTGTAAACATTGTATCATGACTGCAAACATGATTGGAAGAAATTTGCTTATCAAACAGGTATGTGTCACTGCATTGACTCTCCTGTAAACATTGTATCATGATTGCAAACATGATTGGAAGAAATGTGCTCATCAAACAGGTATGTGTCACTGCATTGACTCTCCTGTAAACATTGTATCGTGACTGCAAACATGATTGGAAGAAATGTGCTCATCAAACAGGTATGTGTCATAGCATAGACCCTTCTTTAAACAATGTATTATGATTGCAAACATGATTAGAAGTAATTTGTTCATCAAACAGGTAGGTCAAGGCATAGACTCTTCTGTAAACATTGTATTATGATTGCAAACATGATTGGGAGAAATTTGCTCATCAAACAGGTATGTCATGGCATAGACTCTTCTGTAAACATTGTATTATAATTGCAAACATTACTGGAAGAAATGTGGTCATCAAATAGGTATGTCAAGGCATAGACTCTTCTGTAAACAATGTATTATAATTGCAAACATGATTGGAAGAAATGTGCTCATCAAACAGGTATGAGTCACTGCATTGACTCTTCTTTAAACATTGTATTATGATTGCAAACATGATGGGAAAAAATTTGCTCATCAAACAGGTATATGTCATGGCATAGACTCTTCTGTAAAAATTGTATTATGATTGCAAACATGATTGGAAGAAATTTGCTCATCAAACAGGTATGTGTCATGGCATAGACTCTGGACATGTCAGATTTTGCAACAACCCAAATCAGGAAAACGAATGATCGAAACAAATGATCCGATTAAAAATATTTTATTATGCTTTCACCCTAAAACTATTTATCGACACAGGTTTGGCACATGCATTATCTGTCCTGATATCAAGACTGTTATCACTATCTGGCTGAGATTCAACAATGACAGAGCAGTATCAACAGGTCTAGACCTTTTCCTTTATCATTTGATATAGAAAAATCACATAAAGTGGTATCACATCTAAATATTTCTTTTTAATCAGAAAGTGAGGCAAACACCATGCCAACTTCAGAAACGAAAGGGCTTTCTGTCGCTAGTTCTAGTTTTTCAAAACAGTTCATACAAATTTGGCTTTCCTCACCAACGAAACAAAATTAGAATGTCTCTTTGAAGTGCCAGTATACTCACTAATAGTCTGATCGGAATCAATTCAAATGCCATTTAACTGACAAATAGTCTACAAAGAGTTAATGTCATATTACATTTCTGTAATGTCTCTGTAACCCACCCATCAGTTTCTTGGTCAGCCTCTTGCCTTGCAGCCTTCCGTTCTCACGTAGTATGATTCAGCTACTGGCTGATTTTGTTCTGTTCTTACCAAATGACCAAACTATTTGTGTTTTTGTTTTTTATGTTCTGTGAAATTATTTACTGGTACTATGTCCATCATCATTCTTAGTTCTTCATTGGTGACTGTCTCTTCTTGCTTTTCCTGCCACATTTCCAAAAGATCCCATCTTGTTACAATTTTGCATTTATGTTTTTCTCGGACTGTCCATGTCTGGCATTTATAGTGTGTTGTTGGTATGAATAGCGCATTTGCCTTTTTTTTCTTTCTGTGGGCATCTTTATGTTTTGATTCCTCAAAAGTGGTACTATTTTGTCCTTTAGCACCTGTTACAGAATGATAGCCCTATATTTGTATTAAAAAAGTATTCGATGGTTGATATGTCAGCCCCATGCAGGCTACCTTGACATTCTTGAATATTTCCTGAAAAAAGATAAACTTTGGATCCAGTGTCATTTTTTAAAAGCCTTACCACAATAAGGACTTGAAAACCATGAAAATCAGTTCAGCAAAAGATATGAAGTTTCAAATAAGTCTTTCCCTTGTGGGATGCAATTTTTTATTTGAAGCCCCACTCTGGCTTTTGCCGAGGGCCCTGAATATAGCCGGGCCATGAATGTGGCCATAATGGCTGAAAGGGGTTTCTGGGACCTCTCCATGGGTGATCCTCATACGCAATGGTGGCACATTGTGTCACTGGGTGTTTATCACTTGTGTGATGTCCTGGTGGGGTACAACAAGTAAGCAAGCAAGATATGAAGTGTTTGATATTTTCAGGTTATGTCATTTTGGAGTGTAAGTTCCCTGCGCGGTAAAATAAATGTATTTCATTCTTTAACTTGTAGGTGTTACGGCTGCTGCAGTATCTTGTCAAGTTTGGCTACTATATGGATGTAGAGGATGTCCGCAAATTGTTACCTCCCTTGCTCAGTCTATTAGATGGTCGGCACGATGTTCCTTTTTCTAGGGACAAAGTAAAAGGTATGACCAAATTTATTTATAAGAATATAATATTTGAAATTCAAGTTTTGGTCTTTTAATGAGATGTAAAATATTTGTTCAATTATTGGCTGCTCTTTCATGAAACCTTCTGGCCATGTCTATAATTAAATGTTAATTCTTTCCATTCATTAAAGGTTATTCCAGGGAAGCACAGAAAGCTGTTCAGGCATATAGACAAACAGGCAGGTTTGATGTCAATGAAGAATCAGAAGCCATTGTGAATGCTAAATTCCAGTAAGTTGTTGTTCCCTTCAACATTCAGTATTATGAAACGGTACAACTGCTTCTGATAAATTTATAATATTTCTTTACATGAGGGGGTTGCGTGGTCTCAAGGCATGGTGTCCGCCTCGAGTGCTAGAGGTTCTGGGTTCAATCCCCAGTAAGGGCGGGGATTTTTTCACGTAGATTTAGACGTCTACTCAAAGCCCCTGGTCTCTGGGTAGTGTGATCAGATGCCTGTGTGCATTGTTGCGCACGTTAAAAATTCCCTTGGCAGTTGGAAATTGAAAAGAGTAGCCCAACGGCGCTGCCCGGGCAAACTATTTGCAGTAAAAAATCTG